AGAGGATAATTTAATCTCAGCTTCATACACTCCCTGGATCTGACCCATATGCAAGTAAGAGAAAATCCCTTTTCCCATTTTTGATAGTTGTATGAGGACACTCATTCCCCATCTTATTTGATGCTTGTGAATTAGATCATGCCAGAGAAAATTACACTAAGATTTAGCAACTCTTTGTACTACCGGCAATGCAGATTGCTTAAAGAAATCTAAATACCAGTCTCTAAATAAAGTTATGTTGTGGTGAGGAGTTGGTTTTTAGTGGTGAGGGGTTTTTTGTTGTTTTTTTATTACTTTGAGTAAGAAGATCTGCGAAGAACCAGTAGTTTTTTTCTGTTGAATATTCACTTTTTAGTCTTTGCTGTTAGAGCGTCAGCTGTGAAGATCATAGGGGCTGTAACTGGTCTCCTGCTTGGTTTGTTTGTTTTTAAAGTGTCATATATATTCTATCAGGGAAAAACACACAGTGTAGCTATGTTTGACACCAAAGAGAAGTTTTTATAGATGTTACTGTGCTAAGTGTATGGGATACCAGGTGACTATAACATAGAACAAGATTTATGTCTCGAATTGTAAATAATTTTGTTTATAGTTCAGTAATAGAAGACAACTTTCCTCCGTAGCCATTGTGGAAGTCCTGTTCCCAGTGAAATGAGGAGACATGGGATGATAGATGCAGAAATCTGTTTGTTGTTTCCATTTTGTGCTCACATGGTATTTGTTTAGCCCTGGTTCTCATATTCTTATTGGATGTGTTAGTTCCTTGAAATGTCATTTGTAGGGATAAAGCATGCTTCTCTTCAGTGCTAATTATCTACAAGCGTGTGGTGTAATTTGTTTTCTGCAAACTTTTGAACCATCTTAAGGAAATAAAAATGCTTTGCTGTATCTCATGGTTAGTGTAACCAAGTACCTTCTAGTCCGTGTCACTCACTCAGTTGGTTTGAATGGGAACTTGAGAAATAATATGGGCAGGTGATAATCTCAGTGTGTGATTCCCTTCTTTTCTGCAGAGAAGGCCAAGCACATTCTCTTAGTACATTGGTTTATATTTACCTGAAAATGGTTATCTGTGACACTGACAGCTGTCAGAGAGTTTAGTGTGGACAGATTTTAATTTCTCTGAGATCTCTGTAGCATAAGACTGAAATATGCACTTTAAATATGACAACTGACCATTTCGAGCTTTGCTTGTTCTGCTCTGCAGCATCCCAGGGGATGTTAGTCACAGGGGTGGGTCTTAACTTCAGCTTGAGATGACATGGCAGGAGGCAGAAAACTCCAAAGAGAACAGGTCTTATCCCGTCCTCATCTTCAGCTTTCTTGTGTCAGAGGTTCTAGGGGTGTGTGTGTACCTTTAATATAGCCATAATTACAGGGATGTAACATCGATTCATAGACTTTTGTGGATGTGTGCATGCGGTTTCTGCTAACTGATAGTTGTTCAGATGAAAGTAATTTGATAAAACATTTTGGCCTGTAGTCAGTGTCATTTACATCAGTAATGGTAGCCACTAAGTGTAGTGAGTTCAGACTACTGTGTGGAAATAGAGCTGGGCCAGCCCTGTTCCTTGGTCATTCCCTGGTTTGCTTTGAATCTTTTTAATGTTCCTTCACCACCTTACTGGTTAAGAGTGGAGTTGATCTAAGTCCTGGTAGCTGTGTTTATGCAGAGCAACATTATCTTTCTGTATGAGTGACACCTAGGAAAAAATGTTGATTTATTTTTTTCTAATTTTAGCAGCCTGCAAGGTGGCTTGTAGGTAGTCACACACAGTCGGAGGGTGCTGTATCCTGTTTGCAGTGCCTGTTCCTTGGCCAGAGCCAGGATCCAGCCACCTGATCTGAGCTAAAGTGAGATGATCAGTCCCATCCACTGGGAACAATTCTATTTAACAGTATAGCTGCACCAATCCAAAAAACCTGTAGTGAATAGACTGCACTGGTGGCAAAATGTAAAATACCCAAGTGCAACTTGACTGTACTTTAGAAGACCAGCTGGCTGCTGGTGTGTGATTTAAATTTCAGTGCAGTTTAGTTGTAGGGTTGATTTTGTTTTAATCCTAAGTCTCGCCTGTATTTTTAATGCACTTAAAATAATGCAGTGACTGCTTTGCAATCCACTTGTCCTGCCTTCCCTTCCATTTCCCCACAGCGTTCAGGTGTCATTACTGCAAGGCAGGAGGCAGAGCTCTGCTGCTGGCACTGCTGGGCTTTGGCAGGCAGTGCCTGTTGTCTCGGTAAAGAGAAGTCTGAGGGAATTTAATATTGTATCATCCATAAAAATGGGAGCACTTTATTAAGCGAGGCTGTGTAAAGCTTTCTTATGGATGGAATTTACATTAATTCATTTTATTGTTCCATCTAAGGAGATCAAATGATAAGCACAGTGTCATGTACACGTTTGTGACTATTCTGTTAAATAGATTTTAATACTTAATGTTTTTTTGCTCATGCATTTCAAAGCAGCAATTATTTCCAAGGATAAAGATAATGAAATTTCTCTTGATGCTCTCAGGAATAAAGGGGAAAAAAAAGTGTATTTTAAGGTGTATCACGGTAGGTGAGGAGTTCTGCTCTGTCCCGTCCCACGCCTCTGTGTGTTGTCAGTGGGCCTGGTAGGAGTTTCAGCTGCAGGAAGAAATGTTCCTGTTGATGACATTTTGGAGGCATGCTCAGAAAGGACGCCAAGAAGGAGTCTGGTGGCTGTTTTGGCACTGGGGGGTCGGTGGGGAGGGGGAGAAGGCTGTAATCCATCTCAGCTGCGAGCGCAGGGCTTTCCCCTCGCGCTGCCTCTCACACGCACGCTCGCTCACGGGGACATGTGACTTTTGGCCATTTTAGCAGGTTTATCCAAGCCTAGCCCCTCTGACTAACAGATGTAGGGAAAAGGGCATTCTGGGATTGCAGCAGTTGCTTTTGAACAACAATGTCCTTTTTGTAAGAATCTGATGCTTCTTAAAAGATGGAACATGACATCATTACCGTCGATCCAAGAAACATTCCTTCAATAATACTGAGTGTGCTCTGGTTATCAGCTCCCTTCCCCCAGCTCCTTTCTCTTGCTTTTCTGACATGCTTTTTGTCTATTGTTTTGTTGGGGGCTGTAAATGTGAAACAGTTGTCTTTCAGTGTTATGTGCTTGCTAGAGCTGGAATCAAGTGGAATATTGTTGATTTATAAGAAAGAAAAAAAAATAACAAAAACCCTACTTTTCCTCCAGCTTTCATAAATGTAGCATGCTTCAGGTATGGGCTGAGCTGGAGCTAATTATTTCCCTTCCCACACGGTATTAGTTACTGTGTTATGCAAGGGAAGGTGGGGATATCACAGTCCCATTCCTGTGCATCCCACTCGGCCTCACTGGCAGCTGTGTGCAGATGCTGGTTGTTCCAAGGCTCCTGCAGTGATCCTGCATCCATAGGAAATGTGTGAGTGCTCAGCAGTGCAGTGTGGCAGACTTGTGAGCAGTTGCATATTTTCTGTATGTGTGTGTATGTTCTTCTGCTTGGTCCACCACTGGGATTTCAGTGTCAGCTTTTCCTTATCCCCTGAGAGCAGGCTATCACGGAAACACATTCTGGGTTGCATTATAAATCTCTTTGAATGCTGATTGCTTGGAGGAAAGTGTTGGATTTTCCCTTCCCTCCCGTGCATGTCTTCCTCAGAAAAACTGGAGACTCTTGTGGAGTTTGCAGCCAGGTACATCTCAGCTGTATTTCACGGCCAGGCTCTGCAGCAATGCTGGGAGGTCTCTAGCAAGGAGCAGGCAGGCTGTGGCACTTCCACATGCTGCAGCTCTCCAGAGGAGAGAACCACTGAGCACAAACATGCAGGAATATGTCTTTTTCCATCCTTGCAGGATTTGCTCTGCAGGGACTGGAAAACAAATGATTCATTGATGGTCTGGAGGCTTGGAGAAAGGTGGAGTTTATAGTGTCCAGAAAGGGAGGAGAAACGGACAGGGCCTTCTGATGTGTTGTTTAAACTCAGATTTGTTGTCTTTCACATCTTCATCGTGGAAATAAACCCCTAACTTTTTTAAAAAACAAATTTGAGATAAGAAATAGAAATTAAAAAAGCACAAGTCCTGGCGAGACAGATTTTTTTGGAAAGAAGCGAGATGTGTGATTAACCGTTTGCCAGTGACAGAATTGTTTTTATTGGTGATAATTTACAGGGATTTGATAGGAAATCATAATACCTCCCTTATAAGAGGAAAAGAAAAGGGCTTTTTATTTGTAGTGGTTTTTTGGCATCACCTGTTGTAAAGATATAGTAAGATTTTAGCACAACTTAACAGTATACTTTTATTCTGGATAGATTCCAAGACAGAAAGCTTGTAGTAAATGAAAGCAAACTCATGGTGCAGACAGAAAGAATTTTATACATTCCCAGTTGTGTCTGAAGCTGCAAGTTCCTCTGAAGGAAGTGTTTGCCAATGGCCTATTGTCCATTGTCTCATGTGCCAATCACAGTTTAAATGTGTGTTTGCCTCTGATGAAGCTGAGCAGAAGGAGGAGCATGGGGTGTGGAATCGGGTATCTCCTGTTCTGGATGCTGTTTCTCTGAAGAAAGGGGTTGCAAGTAAACCTCTGAAGAGCAGGCACTTTGTGATAGATACCACAAAATCCAGACAATTTTTTAGGACACGGTGGGTGTAACTCTTCAGAGGGAGGGTGTCGCGGTGGTACGGCCTTATTGGTGATGAACTGGTTGTTGCTGTAGGTCACAGATTCTCTGACTGCTCTGCAGGTGATCGAGCAGATGCTGGAGCATGGAATGCGCCTCATTTTGTGTTTTGATTTTAGTTTCTGTCCTAGAGAAATGCTTGACTGGTGTCACAGTGGGGCTGTGACATTATCCCAGCACACAGGGTGTGTTGCTTCACACACCAGAGCTGCTTGCGCTGGAGGAAGTGGAAGCTGCTTTGCTGTGGCATGTTTCGGGCTCTTTGAGCAGAGGATAATCAGTGAAGGATTGCAATCTTTTTCTTGCAGTAATCCATGCTGAAGAGGCTCCATTCATACAGATGAGCCAAGGGTTGAAGCAGCACTTTAAACCCAGATAGTCGGTCGGCTGACTGCCCAGCAGGATGCCATCAACCAGCCGAGCGGGCAGCCTGAAGGACCCCGAAATTGCAGAGCTCTTCTTCAAAGAAGATCCAGAAAAGCTCTTCACAGATCTCCGAGAGATTGGCCATGGAAGCTTCGGAGCAGTTTATTTTGTAAGTAGCAACATGACTTGTGAATTTTAGCTGTGTTTCTTTTTAAACTGTGGGTGTAGACTTTTTTGAGCATAATGAGGAAAAGAAACTACTGTGACTTTTTTTGTCTCGTGTTTGGAGCAGAGATGTTATCTTGTGTGTCTGTGTGGTCTCAATCCTTTCACAAACTTGCAGTCTGCAAGGTGTTTGCATACAAAAAAACCCCTGGAAATTTGGTCCTTGCCTGGTGCTTTTAGGTGCATCATTATGTTGCAAGCAAGGATTTATGTGCAAATTAAAACATGGACTTCTCCTCCATCAATTCTGACTGGCAATACAGTTCTCTTGATCTGATCATCTCCTTATCACCTCTTGTTCCTTGAGAGAAATTGAATTCTCTGTCCCTTTGTGCATACCCCGAGGCTCCCTTAAAGCCATTCTTTAGGTTTGACACCTGAGTGTTGGTGCTTTTGTTATCATTTGTCCTGTCACATCCATTCCTACTGCAGGCAAGAATCCCAGTAGCCATCTGCATAAAACTTACTTGACATGAATTTCTGGACAGCAAAATTTTTCTCGGGCTCAGATGGCAGTGGGATCCTCATGGCAGCTTCAGTGCAGGTTGCTGTGTGTTAACCAAATACTGTGGGGCCTTCATTAAAAAACACTTTCCTCAGAAAACCTTTTCACGTTTATAATTATAGGAGGTGTGGCCAAACCTGCCAATTTCCCTTCAGAAAGCCATTTGTGTCAGTATTTTATGAGATGCCTATTCAGTGTTAATAATTGCAGCAGACCATGTTGGGAACCTTCCAGCACAAATTTAATGCAGCACAGATGAACTAATTAGGAAAAGCTTCTTAATTTTGTTCCCTGCTTAAAACTATGAGCCACCACTGTCTGGGAACAGATCTGGGGGAGGAAATGTTTTCTAAAGAAACAATACTCACCTGTGGTCTTAAATTCACCTCATTTACTCACTTTGGTTAAAGTGGTAATATCAAGGGAGGGAACTGACAAATCTGTCTTCCTGCTATGTGGAAATATTATTGAAGAAATATTATGGAAGTATATTTGGAAAACTGTATCTTTCAGAGGCATGCATGGACCACACAGATACGGAAACCCATAATGCAGCTGCAGGTAGCCTGTGAGCTGGAAGCAAACAGCATTCCCAAACACCAGCAGGAAGCTGCCATGGGGTATTTGTAGCCTGCCTGAACTTCATCCTTGTGGTAAGGGCTGATGGCCCATTACCAGCTCCATCTCCAAAGCAATTGCAACTCAGAGGCCATTAATTTCTAGCGTTCTTTCTCTTTTCCCCTCACCATTTTAAATCACCAGTTCATTATAGATCGGTATTTGCTTACTATGGAGTGCAATTACTTGCTGGCATTTGGATTGTGTGTCTTTGTCAGAAAGTATCTCTGACTTGGCACTTGCATAAAGACAAGTAAGCAGTGCATCACACAACCCCAGCCCATGGGGGGGCTTCATTTTTGTCAAGAGAGGGTTTCTGATGAAGACATTCTATTGGTGTTTCTGTGTTAGGAAGTTTAAACCTGTAAGTTTTGAGTTGTGTCTTTTTTACTGCTAATGGTTCTGAGATGTTGAATCTGTTCCATGCAATGTATCCCATCCTCAAACAGAAGCCCAAAAGATCAGAGACACAACATGGAGAGGGAAATTTAATGTGAATTAAATAATCATGAACTAAAACATAGGAGAGTCTATCTCTTGGGTACTTTATTCCTCTGTAAAGCTAGAAATAAAACTTAAGTTTATTTAACAAGATTTTGATTTTGCTACTGCAAACAATTAAAACTTTCTCTAATTAATATAATATTGGATTATAGTTAATAACTGCTTCAAATTATACTACTGAAGCCGGTGACATACTCCACTTTTTCTTTGTGCATACTTTGCCTGTATCAATGCTGAAGCTACTCTGGTCACCAGATGTTGATCCTTTGTGTGGAGTTTTTGGGGGGAAAGCAGAATGTATGTGCATACATAGAACAAGTCTTGTTCATTTGGGTGGTTAAAGGGAGCTGGCCTTGCACATCCTACTGACTTTTGTCTGGGAACTGTTTTTTCAATTATCCAAGATGACAGGGAAACCAAAAAAAGGAAATGAAACTCTGTGATTTTAATATTTCTGGGGTGTCAGCCAGGACAGTTCTCCCTTTCTAGGACTGTAGGTGTTCAGCAGACTCTGTCAGGTGTTGTTTGCTTGGGTTTTCTGATGCAAAAATATCCTCTCTCCAGGCAGCTTTCATGGCATACAGCCTGCACCAAAAATGTGGTTGATAAATAAATGTGGGGATAATTACCCAATAGAAAATCCATATAATCTTGAAATTTCCCGTACCTTATTTAAAATAGAGTTCAATGTTTCACTGTTATACCCATCTTCTTTCCCTTTTAGCAGTAGTCCCACCAACGGGTGATGTATTGATCTTACTCCTGTCTCTTTGTTTCTGTTGTATCCTTCAATGGCAGAAAGTTCCTTTTATTTTTTTCTGTCATAATTGATACGAATTTTGCTGGTTCACCTCATGGTTTTAGTTTCTTAGAAACTGCAAGTCTGGCACCTCTGAATCATATTTGGTATTATCCTTACCATACTCCCTGCTCTGCAGTGTAATAATAGCTTTTGCTTGACACAGGAAACCTACTACACTGGAACACTGCAGATGGAGCAGAAGAATAACCCACTCTCTTTTGTTAGAGCTGGGTTCCTTCTGCTTTACTCTAGTATTTTGCTTCCCTGCTTTATTGGCAGTTCTTCACACAGCTGAATGTTTCAGAGATTGTCTCTAATCAGTAAAGATCTAGGAGTCAGAATTTTGTTCTACCTTTTTTGCCTCAAACAACAAAAAGAGTCACCCCCCCCACCCAACTTTACAGGTACTAGTAGTGAGATGAACCGCTCAAACAGAAAGAAAAGTAAAAATAGTATTGTTTCAAGCTTATCATAACCAGTTGAAATAAAGACTGACAGGGAATTCTGGGAATCTCTTTAATGAACAGCCAAATTAAAACATGGCTGAAAAACCTTTTTACTAAAGGCAGAGCCCTAGTACTTCATTAATCCATGTTCTGGTAGGCTGTGCTTTATAGTACAAATGTATTAAAAATCAGCATTTTCATCAGTCATCAGTGAATGCTGTGGTGCACATTATTCTGCTTTATAACATTTGGCTTCATGTCCAAGTTGATTATTATTATCAGAGAGACTCAGAGGTTTTTTCCTGCACCACCCTCCTGTGCTGCTGAAATCTCCAGCAGAGGAAATCTGGGGTCTTACCTGGAGTCATCCTTCCTGCAAGGTGCTGCCTCTTGTGCTGTGGGGAGTGAGCCCTTACTTTGGTGCTGATTGAACAAAGCTAATTTTCTTGTCTAGTCCTTGCCTTGCATTGTTGCTGTCTGAAGTCAGGAGGTTTGCCTTTGAAGTGTGAAAAACTATGAACATTTATGGTGCAGTGTAAGTAACAATGCTATGAAACTGAGAAGTCTCATCTGAAGATGGATCAGTTGGATTGCTGCCATGTCCCTCTGTATCATCTGCATTCCTTTAAGACACAAAAGCTAATTTTTGGGAGCACTGAGGAGAAACCTGCTCCAGCCACTGGTGTCTATCTCCAGTGCATCATGTGACATCTTTCCATATGGTTCGAATGGAGCTGGGTGGCTGAGCCTTGCTTCTGTTTCATGTGGAATGGACCTGGGCAAGGAGAGAAGTTGATTTAGGGAAAATCCCTTCTACTTGAATCAGAGCTGCTTTTATTAGCTGTGATTTTTATTTTAAGTCACAATGCTTGACTCCTGCAGAGACTTGGTGGATGCTGAGTGTGGAAAAATGTCACACCTTGTCTTCCAGACAGGAAGGTGATCTTTCACTTTGGAAAGAAATTTCTAATTCTTGCAGCAGTCACACCTCTTGGAGGATATTTTAGTTCAATGCTCTGCAAAAGTTAACTAAGAATAGAGATTATTTTATGATTGTGTGTGGTTTGCATGTTATGGGAAGCTGGGGCCTGAAGAAACTGATGGATTGTGTTTTCCTGTTACAGGCACGTGATGTGCGCACCAATGAAGTGGTGGCCATCAAGAAAATGTCATATAGTGGGAAGCAGTCCAATGAGGTAAGTAGAACATGTTAATGTATATTAAATTTTGATCATTGCAAATAATTACTGTATGGAATAATTTTAGTGATCTTAAGTTCCTGCAGGAGAAATATTTTCTGTAACTGTAAAGGTGAATAAGAGTACTGTGTGAACAAAATAAATCAGTTTACTGTTTAGTGTATTTCTGTGTAATCTGCTGAAAAAGATGGGTAGAACTTCTTCTTTCAGATACAAAGGGCTGTTTTTGGGACCACATGAATGTGTAGACAGGGGAAAAAAGAAAATTAAAAATGATGCGTTTGTATGCTGGTGTCTTATTGCCCTTAACTGTTCCAGTTTAAATACATTAAAAAAAAAAAATTTGCTTCCTGGACAAAGGAATAATAGGAATGGATGCAGTAGTGAGCTTCAGAGGGAGGCTTGCTTGTACAAAGTAGTGAGGCAGAACACATCCCTCCCTGGAATGACTGTGCTCGTGAGAAGCTGAAACAAAGGCAGAAGAGTGGTGAATGAATGAGTGTGAAAATCTGAACAGCAACATAATTCCAGAAGAATTGCCAGAGCCATGGATTAAGGCAGTCTTTACAGAGGGGTCTGTAGAAGTGGGCCTCTGAGATTTAGACATTAAGTGTTTTCATGGCCACCCCAGATGTGTCTCCTTTCCCTAGGATGCTTAGCAGAGAGAGTTGATTTTATACTTGAAACATTTAAGTGCTAATACAGATTCTTGAAAAGCCCAAGATGACACAAGCAGCTGATTTGATATTATTTCTGGTAAATAACATCTATCAAATCACGGCATGATTTTTCAACAGAATTATTTATCATAAGCATGTTGTCCAAAGCATTTATGGTTCCCTCCCTCCATTCTCTATATTCCAATCTTAGCAGCAGTCTTGCTCTGATGGGTTTGACTAACAGCTCATTGCTTTCTGTGCCTGCCTTTTGTGTATTGATCATCTGCACTCCAAGGAGCTGAGCTATTCCTTCCTCTGTGTGTGTGTATGTCTGTGTAGGAGGTAGAGGTGGCAGTATCTCTCCAGCAGTCCTGAATTCTAGCTTCAGAGTTAAATTTGCTATGCCTGTTTCTGTTTTGTCGCTGCGGTGACTTGTTTAACTGTGTACTGATGAAAGAATAATTTGTACTTGCTACTTGTCCTACTGTTTTAATTACTGTGAGCTATAAATACTCTATTCACATGAATGAAACAAACTGTGCATGCTTCAGAAATAGCTTTTGTTTGTCTTCAATGCGTATGTTTCTTTATTTTGAAAAAAGTAATAAGACCAGGATTAAAACACTTTCTATTTTATGTCCATATTTATTTGTTTTATTTAGAAGTTCACTGGAGTTATGATCTAGCCTATGTAAAGAAAATTGATTAAGGGCATTCTGATATTATTTTTATTTACTTTGGTTTCATAATAAGATTTTATCATTGGTAGGAACAATTATTCTCTCAAAGTCATACTTTATACTAAAAATAAGTTTAAAACTTTTGAAAAATGTAGTACTGTGCTCTTAGTGTGATCTTGGAGCTTTTTTTTTATGCAGGAAATCATGAATACTTCTTAACTAATATATCACTTCTCTCTTCCCAGTGTAGAAGTTTAGCATGGTGCTTTCTTGGTTTGGTTTTAATTGTTTAGTACCTCAAGGCCTTTGAGGCTGAAGGTAAAAGGCAACAAAGTCACTCCAGTGTCAGTGAGAGTTTATGTTACAGCTGCACTGTGTCATTCTATAGCATTTCTGGTGTTGAGAAATGCTTAATGTAGTCAATCAGCTGCCTCAGTTGTGGACTTCCACGTTCCCTGTTTTTGTGTCTTCTCTAACCCTGAAATTTTTATTGAGGTTTTGCACGTTTTCCAAAGCCTTAGAGTAGATGGGCCCTCTCTCCCTCTGTGAGTGCTACCCACATACCAACATGTGAGGAAGAGTGTGCTGAGAGATTAACAGGACCTGGAAAACAGCTTTTGAGCCTTTTGGTGTTGGGTGAGGTTTCTCTCCCTCTGGTTAACTTCAGCATTGTTACTCGTGCTCAAAGACATTTGCAGTGTCAACAGTCTTACATTGATGCATATTTAAATGGTTTCAGCTACTGCATTTGGTTTTTTTGGTAGTTGTAGTTTTGCTGTTGTGCTCTCAGACTTTTGCCTTTCTTGCCTGAGGAGATGTGGATGTGCAGCACGTGGTGGGACTTGGGGGTCTCCAAGGGAATCAATTTCAGTGTCTAGGCACACATTGGAACTTGACATTTTGGCCTCTTCTGTACTTCAAAGTTGCACTAGCAGAGCTCCCCTTATTACAAACCTGGCTTTGTTTTATCTGTTTATATTTTTTCTCCAGCAGAACCATTCCTTTATCTAGTAGGTAATTCATTTTAAATTGGCCCTTGTAAAGATTAAACCAGTAATAGAGAAACATTATCAAGAATGTAGTCAGATAGTTGGCAGCTGATAAAGGGAGCCTTCCAGTATAATATAGTGAATAGTAGGGATAGGTCTTTATAGTAACAAGAGCTGAGAGAGGCAGCTGATCCTGCTGAAGGACACTTATCACCCACATCTCTTTCAGGTTGGGGTGTATGTTTGATTTGGCAACAGAATTGGTATCCCTTAGTAGGGGATCACTTCTTTTTTAAGGACTTTCTCAGATATTGTTTACCAATATATCCTATGCACACATATAAATATAAAGCATTACATTGATGAGAGATCTTTGCATACAGCCTAATTGATCAGCAACTTATTTTGTAGGTCTGCTGAGGAGTTAAGCTGTGAACATCATAGTGTTGGTACAAACTTATTTTGATTTGAACCTTGAGATAGTTTTGCCCCTTAAAATAATTAAATGACTTAATAACAACAACCAGAAAAAAAAAAAAGGGTAACAGTTCTGTAAAGTCTATTCCTTTTATTCCCTACAGAAATGGCAGGATATTATTAAGGAAGTCAAGTTCCTCCAAAGAATAAAACACCCTAACAGTATAGAATACAAAGGCTGCTATCTGCGGGAGCATACAGCATGGGTAAGCATCTGCTGCTCTGCACTCCTCTTGCCTTGGTTAAAAGTGCTTTGAGATCCCTCCAGTTGGATTTTGGGAGGCACCTGAGCACTGGTGTTGCACTGGGAACTGTGCAGTGACTGGGATGAGCATAGCCAAGGGCCTTACAGGTGCTCAGCAAACTGAATGTACTTTCTGGAATCAAGATTTAAGGAAATTTTCCCTTTTGCTTAGATAAAGTGTTGCTGTTCTATTTGTTCTATGTGTATTTAGCTTGATAAACTGAATATTTGGAATGATGTACGCCCATCACTAATAAAGTTTTGTAGTGCAATATACTAAAGAAATCATATTATTGAACTAATAGTTTAAATTTTAAGTACTGTTTTGCAAATTAGCTTCAATAAATCTGTAGGGCAAAGTTTTAGTTTCTCTTTCTGAAATCTGACTGGGACAGAATCTTAAGTAAATCCCTAAATAGCCTTTTAATACTCTGATAAGCTTGTTAAGTGCAGTTTAACATTCCTGTTAAGTATGTGCATATAAAATATGATATGTAATACAATACCTAACTGGTTATGAATGTGCTTTGGCCTTCCTTAGAAGTGGTGTTGGTTGGTATCTTACACAGGAGGGTTTTGCCTAATTGCAGTTATAGATGTACTTGTGGGAGGGGTCAGTGTGACAGTGCTGGGATGCAGTTTATGGCACAAGCAGTACTTGCTTTGTTATGGCACTGTGTGCTCCAGGAATTAGTTCTAGATTTCTCTGTACAAGTCTAGAAAACATACATTGACTATTACAGATTTTCTAACTATTTTGATTTCTTCCTATAACAGCTTGTTATGGAATATTGTTTAGGATCAGCATCAGACTTACTAGAAGGTAAGTAAGTCACACATGTTTATTTGATGGAAAGTCAGAAGTAGAGTACTGAACTAGGAGGTTACAGCATCACAGAATTTTCCATGAGTTTATAGTTTTGTTTGGAGCTAGAGTATGTATAAATAGGCACAGTTTGTCAAATTCTTGCATAGTTGTAGTGGTTTTTCTGTAGAATATTGCCTTTCCCAGGTACTTCGTTTCTCCTTGCTTCATATGATTTTAAAGTTGTCCATCAGCTATTTGTTTGCTTCTGAGTTCTAGGTTCTCCTGCCATGACAGTTCAAGATTTATTTCTGAAAACCCTTGCTGTTGATCCTGATGCTTACTAACAGCTGTAGGCCTGCTGACTAGAATAGCACTACAGCAGTGTTGTGGTTGTGTTTTATGAGGTCTTTCATTAAATGGTCGTTTTTCCTATGAGGCTTCTTATAGTGAACTTTCTTTGAAGAGATATGTAGGGCCAGTAAGTTGTTAATTTCCTTGCCAGAAGCATCTCAGGACCACAGGCTGAGCTGCCAGAATCTCATCTCTGTTGCTACAATTCATCTGTGTGTGAATTGCTGTAAATTTCTGGGGTTTGGGGTTTCACTTCATTAATGGAAAACTGGATATTGAGTCTCAAGTAGTTACTTGGGAGAATGGTCACATAACTGACAGGAATGTAGTTTATGGTTGGAGAGTGGTCTCTTTGGTAGTAAATAGCTGGTTTACTGTTAGAAGATTACATCTGATTATAGAATGTACTCTGTGAACTATTTTTACATTTGCTTCTAATACTGAACCTAGTGAAAATGAACTTCTAGTATTTCTGTTTACATTGTTAACAGGACTGGCTTGCATGCTGCAAACTGTATTGTTTTCTGTAATATTGAATTTCACATAAATTCTTTCCTTAAGTTCATAAAAAGCCATTGCAAGAAGTGGAAATAGCAGCAATTACCCATGGTGCTCTCCAGGGATTAGCATACTTGCATTCTCACAATATGATCCATAGGTAAGTGGTTATACTTCTCTTGTCTCATACTCACATGTAATGTATTTTGTTGATTGTATCCCCCTCTGTCCCAAATTCAACATTGTAAGCAGAGATTTTCTTTTCACAGTACCCATATGCTCCCAAACAAGTGATTTATAGTAGTCTAAACACTAGCAATTTCTGTATCTGCACATGCACTGTCTCTTACAGCTGCTGTTCATAATTTCTGCAGAATTCCTTCAAATCTGCTAAACATTTTCAGTGCAGAGTGAATAGCAAGTGCACCAAAGAGTTTGTAGGAACTGCAAGGCCGAGAATGCTGGGGCAGGGAGAGCACTAATTCTTGAAAAATTAGTTTGCACAAACACACATGTTAAGAAGGATACAGTAAATTTGGGATGCCAATGTTCTGTGTGTTTAAAGAAGCTTCTGTGTTTTAGTAGGATGAAGAATTTGAATTGCATTATTAAGTCCTTCTAAAAAACTTTGATAAAGGACATACTTGATTCAGAAGATTTTGTTGAACTGTATGTGAAGCTTATCCTGTTGTGCCATTTAAAGTTCATTTTTAAGGCAGACATTAAGACTAACGTGTAAGACAAAAGAATCCAAAATCATGGGCTACTTCAAACAATTAACCTAATGGTTAAAGACTTTGTGTTTGGAGGAAATGTGAATATTTTGCTGCTTGAACATGTGAATATTGGTGTGTTTCATAGTCTGTCCAATAGAGAATTTTCTTTGGAGAGGAGCAATACTGACACTTGTATTCTGTCACCAGAGATATCAAGGCAGGGAACATCCTGCTGACAGAGCCAGGACAGGTGAAACTTGCTGACTTTGGGTCTGCTTCCATAGCATCTCCTGCCAACTCATTTGTGGGGACGCCATATTGGTAAGCCAAGAGTTTTACTTACTTCTGGCTTTGTGAATTAAAAGGGTCATGTATTGGCTATTTAATGTACTTGGGCTTATTTGAGCTAGTTTTATAATCTTCCAGTTGTGGTGGTGATAAAATGTACTTTGTTAGGAAAAAAGTTTAAATAGTCAGTAGGCTCTGAGTTCCAAGAAATTGTATATCTCTGTGTTTGTAGTTCACAGAAAGTAATAAAAATATTTTACTGTTCTGCTTAGACTGACCTAAAGTGGTAGAGGTGGGATTGAATCATGTGTAATATATTTTAATCACTCCCCCCAGTGGTTTAAACAATTCATGTGTTCTCACCGCGTCTGGTTGTTGAAATAACTGAAGTGTTTTTTCTTTCATAGGAAAGGCCAGGTTCACTGAACCAACCCCTTTGCAGATCCCTTGTATGCTTTTGATCTCTTACACCTGATCTGTGGTGTTTACTCTGCTGCACGTTATAATTATTTCACCAGAGTTGGTCAGCCAGCTAATCTATTGGAAGCGTGGGAGGGTCAGAATGTGGTGATAGTCAAAAATGGAGAGCTGGGCAAAGCACAGGAGACATCACACAGGCTCTGCAGGCCTGCACTAGTGTGGGTGCCTGGTCTTTGTTCCCAGTGTCCCATGGCCATACCTGATCGCTTGGGGAATTATTTGTTTATGATAGCTGAAATCAGGGAAACAGCCTATTTCATACTGATGAAGAGAATGTATTCCATTGCCTATTTTGAACACCAATTTCTTTTCTTAGGATGGCCCCAGAAGTGATTTTAGCCATGGATGAAGGGCAGTATGATGGCAAAGTAGATGTTTGGTCTCTTGGAATTACCTGTATTGAGTTAGGTAAGTTATTTACTTTGAAAAATGTAGTTATTTAATACCTAGAACTTATTCGGCTGAATCACAGTGCAGAAAATTTGTGCTCCCTTTTTTATCCTGGTTTCTCTGGGCTTAAGTTTTAAAGAACAAAATGTACTTCCTAGAATTCAAGACCAAGTCTCCAGTTTGATGTTTATGGAGCTGGTGTTTTCATTACCTGAAGAAGAAGTTGCATAGGCAAAGAGAGTAGCCAGGTGATATCACTAAGGGTGTTCACATTCTGTGGGAGAGGCAGTTAACTTCTGAACTGAAAAACAGTCAATTGCTGAACAGCTTTAGAAGTGAGCCATTAAAGGTACCAGTGTGGAGATATATTTAGTGCTATAAGTTGATATTTTTTCCGTGAAAATTTAACATACATTAACAAATTCTGCAGTGATGAAGTTCTGGAGAAGTGGACAACTTCAAAGCTGTATTCAGTGTGTGTTGTCACTTCTGAATAGATTTTTTTTTTTTTTTCCTTAAACGAAAAGATACTAAATAATCCAATTTCAAAGTGGCAACCTGAAACTCAAAGCCTAAAGAAATGATAGCACTGCCATTAAAACAGGCCCTTAAAATCAGGATGTGAGTTTAAAGGGCCATTGTTAGTATGGCATTCTGTTTAAATTAAAACACGTTGTGTTTTCTTGGAACAAAAACGCCCTTGCTGAAGCACACCATGCACGCCACTGCTCCCATGCACCTGAGGCTGTCCTCCCATCCTTGTCAGATCTGATTGCTCCTGCTCCAACCCGACCTCCATGGAGAAGCAGCCCAGCCAGGCAGTGAGAGCTCTCAGGAGCACACTAATCCATGTGAACTGCACAGTTTAGCTAAAAATGCTGTCTGGCATTCCAAACTGTCAACTTCATTTTCTTCCAGGACGCGAAATAGAATCTTTCTTCAGAGCAATTTTTTTGTTGTTGTTGTTGGGTTTTGTTTTTTTTTTTTTTGGTTGCCAATAAAAAGCAAGTTGAAGGGGTGTGACTGTCATGACAGAATCCTGCTCTGAGTGCAGTAAGGAGACTTGGCTGGCTGCAGGGCTCCAGGAATGCAGTGAGCTCATGGCCACCACACCCCCGGGAGTCCTGCACGCTGCGTTCTTGCAGGATGAAGCGTGTTGGGCTTCGTCTACGGCTGCTGGCGTGGTGGGAGGTGAGACTAGGTCAGGACAGCAGAGCACTGTAGGCTGGGTCCCTGTGCCTGGCTCATTTGTGATGCTTTGAGTAAGCATGAGAGGACAGCAGGGAAATGAGATGTCTGGTAGTCTTCTCAAATTATCACTTAGTTTTCGAAATGGTCTTATTGAGGGCTTAGTTTCAGGGTTTCCAGAAGATTTCTGTTTTATTCAGGTGAGCTAAGAGAAGGTAGAGAGAACTGTCAGGTAAAATAGTTTAATGAATAATCTGTCTGATCCTTGATAGCAGCAACTAGTTATCTGACAGATTAGAGGAGGTAAAGTGCTGAATTTGAGGCAAGACTTAAGTCCTCAGTTTACCCGTTCTGAGGAATTTGTAGGGCATTGAGGAATTGTAGTCCATCCTGCCATAGCCATGAGTGAACCATGATCTCTGATCCATAGTTCAGCACTAGTATTCAACTTAGAACTGAGGAGCAGACTAAGAAAAGTAGCATTATTTTTTCCTTGTTTATTTTTTTTTGAGGAAGGAAAGTTTTCTGTTGCGTTTTCAGTATTGTAGGAACGTCCTCGCGGCCTGACCAGCTTCTCTGGAATGTCTATGGCGAGGCTGAGCTTTATAAAGTTTGCCCCATAAACATTCTGATGAAGCTTCAGTTTTGTTGTTACAGTGAGATCATCTCCTTCCTCATTAAGCTTTCATGCTGTGTCAGTCTATAAGAGTAACACAAGCTTGAAAGAGAGAAGAGCCAAAGAGAAGGCAACTCTCAAAATAGTATAAAGAGTTGGCCTGTTGCTGACTTCCTGCTCATGTGCTTAGTCAGTTAAGTGTGATTTGATGGTTCTTGTAACCAGCTTTTTCTTCATCACTGCTGTCCTGCTAGAAATAAATATTCCTTAACTTTTTAGCAACTGTAGATTAAAAAAAACAAAAGGGGGGTGTATGAAACCAAGAATGCTTAGTGGCTAAACACCCAGTATAGAGCTTACTGTTAACTTACTCTTATTTTAGTACATTACAATGAGTCAGAGAACTCAACTATGATAAACCACGTAATTTAAAAGCTTGAGAGGACAAGGCATTTGATCTTCAAAGGCCTTTCATCTTCTGCAATGGCACAGGACGTATGCCAACATATCTGTCTGATTGCAGGGTAGGGTTGGTTTGGGGTTCCATGTTCAGGCAGTAGGGATTTTGCTGATGTGGTTTTTTTTTTTAAAGGGATGTAAACTGTAAAAAAAGAAAAAAAAAGGAGCAACAACATGAGACTATCTCCTATATAAAAACTTCTTTTCTCTTGTGTGCAGCGGAAAGGAAGCCTCCTTTGTTTAACATGAACGCAATGAGTGCCTTATATCACATAGCGCAGAATGAATCCCCTACACTACAGTCTAATGAATGGTGAGTATTGCTGAGGGAGGAATGTTGTAGGGGATCGCTGTAAATGGAGTGCTTTGTCATGCTGAGTTCTTGAAATGGCTGGAGTCCTGTTGGGAGGATGTGAGCTGGAAGGTTCTCATTAGATTCACTATACATTTTGTACACAAAATTGACCAATTATTAAATATACATTTGAGACTCTTCAGTGTAGGAGCAGGACAGGCTGCTGGAAGAACTTAAGATCCTGTAAAAAATTCTGTTCATGGGTCAGTAAACTTTTGAAGCTCCCAAGCTAGCCAAAACTGTGGGTTTTAGTGTTTTTTTTATCACAAACCACACTGTCAGTTTCTAAATCCTGTTTTGTTGAAGTATTGCTTTGCAAAGTGAAGACACAGCTTGTGTGTGGCAAGTGTCTGTTGCATAAACTTTAGAAGAATAAAGCACAGTAGTAACATTTTGTGCCTCCCAGCCTCAACAACTGTCTTTTGAAAACAGCAAATACAGTAAACTAATTTCAAAAGTTAAAAACTTCCTAATTATGGCTTACTGAACCATAGTTCTTGGCCTAGGAGCTACAAACATCCAGATATGAGGATCTTGACTCCTTAATGAATTTAACTGGGCCATTAACTTAGGTGGTTTTTTTTTTTCCTCTCCTTGACACAGGTCTGATTATTTTCGAAACTTCGTAGATTCTTGCCTCCAGAAAATTCCTCAAGACAGGCCTACATCAGAGGAGCTTCTGAAGGTTGGCTTGCTTGTCCTTTCTGTTTTCCATGTGGTATTAAAAGGGGCTGTGCCCTGTGATGATGATCTGTCTCACCTACTGTATAAGGTTATAGTTAATGACGCTCAAACATCTTTGAGCTGAGAGTCCTGTTGGCCGTACTCAGCTGGCAGCCCTGGCTTTACTGCCTGTCTGCAGTGTCTGAGTGTTCTCCAGGTGACTTTCCAAGCCAGCCTTGGAGTACTCATCGTAGAAGGTCACTCCACCAAGTGACACTGGATGACCATCGAGTTGTTGAGATTTTAGTTTGTAAACTCAATCGTTCCAGTGATTATAATTAGTCCTGACAGAGCTGCTGTGCGTTAGCTAACAAATACCTTTTGTTACTTCCCTCTGTGTTCTGTGCTATAGAGCACTCCAGTGTGCTTTACACAGTACCTAAAATCCAGTGCTGGGGAAAATGGGGCAAAAGAAAGCAGTTTTTCCTCCCTGTGTTTTTCCTTGGCATGAAAAAGCCTCAGCAGTCTGCTGGCTTGCTCTTGCTTTATTTCTTAGCTTCTTTTCTAATTCTTCATCTGTGCTCCTGAATGCTGCAGGTACTTGGCTTTGCTCACTGTAGTCTGAAGACAAAACCAGTGGGGTAGATTGTTGCAAAAGGCTGACATGTGAACAGAACTCACAGAGAAATTGGGTTTTGGAGCTGCTTTTTGCTGTGACTTTGATGGATTTCCTTTGTGGCATCAGGTGGCATTCAGAATTTTGCTAACTTGTCATTCTCTTTACAATGCTTCTGACATTTTGGGTTTCTTTTTATCCTGGCCCTGTTTCTGCTAAACAGTGTTTTTCCAAATTTTTTGCATTGCAGGGAAATGGATGCTATTTATGAAGGTTTTATCAGCACCTTTTTGCATGTTTTTACCTAAAAATGGCTCTGAGGACTTGTGCCTCTTTGAAAACTGTCTATTCATAAAGTAAATGCAATTATCCAGGAAAGGTTTTGGTGTGGGTGTGTAGTCCTGCCATTTCAGAATTCTACAGATTGGTTTTATTTTGAGCAATGTGCTGCATTTAAAGAGAACATTGATAGAAATGAAACGTTTGGGAACATATTCCTTCCATAACTATAGTTTGAAACAGCTGCATGCCACTTTACAGGGACAGGTAGGGAATGTGCCATGTTGGAAACAGCATTGCAGTTCTCCAAAGGAACAAAATGAAAGTAGTGGTTGTGTTAATAATGACTCATGCTTGCACAGGACATTGCATCTGGAGACTGCAAAAGCTGCTTCTGACATACATAGACAGTTCTTATTTTACCTATTGGGAAAATGTAGCCACCTTTGCAGAGAAATGTGGTGAGTATCTCCAAGAGAAGAGCAGAACGTGGAGAACTGTTCCAGGACCAGGCTCTAAGGTTCACAGCCTATTTTATGACTCAGAGCTGTATGATGAATATTTAATTCCCAAGCTTTTCTAAACAAGGAAAAGGGTTTTATGCTGAGAGTTAGCTGATGAGTTAATTAACATTTGGTTAAAGATACTAGCCAGTCTAGCACCTTTAGCTTTTATTTAGTATTTGTTGCTCTTCCTTCACTAAACTACAAGTAGATAATGTCTCTGAAGTCTAGATTTATAGTGAGCAAGTTTTCATGGCATGTTAAATGCCATTTCTGGGTTTCTACACCTTTATTTTTTGGTACAATCATTCTGAATTCTATCTGAATTGCAAAGTCTGAAAATAATGCCAGTGTTAGCTGTGAAGGTGTTCTCCTGTGCAGGAAAGAGGGCTAATAAACCCAACTAGAGCTCATCACTGTGTCCTCAAAGCGTGTGCATTGGAGGCATGAGAGGCCACTCAGCTATTTGTGTGTTCTGCAGCACATGTTTGTTCTTCGAGAGCGGCCAGAAACAGTGTTAATAGATCTGATTCAGAGAACAAAGGATGCGGTGAGAGAACTGGACAACCTGCAGTATCGTAAAATGAAGAAGCTCCTCTTCCAGGAGGCCCACAATGGCCCTGCAGTGGAAACACAGGAAGAGGAGGAGGTGAGAGAAATGCTGGATTTCATCACTGAAGCAGAGAAAATGAGACTGTCATTTAAATAACCACAATTCAGATATTGCTGAAACGAAGGGAGGCTGTTTACACACCTGGCTGTAAACACTGTCTCCCTCTTTGTGCTTGGAATAAAGCTACCTCAAGGCACAAACAAGGACAAACAGGGTAGATGCCTAGTGCTGGCAAGAAGTAGTGCCATGTGTTCATGCTTGAACAGTCAGCTTCCAGTCCTGTAAATCCTCACTTTCTTTGCCTGTTTATGAGGCTTCATGAGGACTCTTTAGCAACTGCAGTTAACCCTCTGTTTTGACCATATGTACTGCGAATGTTACAAATTTAAGGCATAGAGATTTGTACTTGATTTGTTAAAAAAAAAAAAATAAGAAAAACAGGTCATCAGGGAACTTGATTTCCCTTTTTTTGGGTTGAGTGCTGCAGTCATCAAGCAGAGATAGAGACTCTGAATTCCAGTTCTTGTGTACAGAAAGGAACCTGCAAGGTGCAGGGTCCCAGCTGAGCACTCAGGTGGTGCTGGTGTCACAGCACTTTATGGTGACACACTGTGACTGATACATGATAGAGTTCAGCTTGCTAACAGGCTTGCTGTTGAAAAGAATCTGACATCAGCCAGTTAATCTTGACAAGGCTGACTCTTTCTTTCTCCAGCATCCCACAAGAAAAATGTTTCATGGCAGTGCCTGGAGGGTGGAAAGTGCCATGACGTGGCAGGTGGATACCTTTAGAGAGAAATGAAATGAACGTTCCATTTGGTAGTGTCCACAGGTACCACTGGCATAGGTTTGAATTTTATTTCTGATTACTTTCTCCTAGGAACAAGATCATGGTGTGGGCAGGACGGGAACAGTGAACAGTGTGGGAAGTAATCAGTCCATTCCTAGTATGTCTATCAGTGCCAGTAGCCAAAGCAGTAGTGTTAACAGTCTTCCAGATGCCTCGGATGATAAGAGTGAGCTGGATATGATGGAGGGGGACCACACCGTGATGTCAAATAGCTCTGTCATTCATTTAAAGCCGGTAAGCACTGGATTCTTACTGCAGAACTTCGAAGGTGAAAAGTGGGAGAGAATTTGGTTGTCACAAAGTCATCTGTTCCCGTTCCCAAGTCATTATCTGCAGTTTATATTATTGTGCCCCAAATATATAGACGAATGTGCACTGGAGACCTGGAAAAGTAGCTGCGAAGATCTTTTATTTTTGTTAATTCACTAAAAATTATTTTACTAATGGAATTGCTTCAAAAGCAGTTTGCTTTATCAGGAGGAGTTGGAATGGGAGATTATAAATAGGTTTGTTTGGTGGATACCCTTAACATTCATAGCACTGCCTTGTGGGACAAGGGGATGTGGAAGTTTCCCTTTTTACCTCCACATTAGAGAATTCTTAAAGTCAGGACCTACAGTAGAAGCTGAAATCAATTCTGCAGCACCCAGCTTCCCAGAACTTGATTTGAATATTTTGTTAATGAATAAAGTGTAGGAAAAAAAAATGCAGCGGAAACCACTTCGCTGCTTTCCTTCTGCCAGCTGAAGGGCAGGCTGGGGAGTGCCCTCTGAGCTGGGCTGCTCTTGCCATGGAGGGGTTATCACTCGATTGCTCAAAGCACTACCGTTTCCATGGCTAATGATAGGTGTGGCTAGAATGTCTTGTTCTTTGCCCAGATATGCAACAAAGACACAGGTATTTCCTCAGGGAGTTAATTAGTGTATCATATCTAACTAGTGATCGCTCTGTGATGAATGACAAACTCAAAATAAGAATGTGGAATACACCATGACAAATTTTAAAATTTGCTTTGAGGTATTTCTGCAGTGGGTGTAATGAAAATCTTCCTCTGTCTTTCAGAGCTACAAAGATGTTGTTTTTGTCTTTCAGACTTGATAAAATCTTCTTTATAGCTTTTACATTTTGTTGAAGTAAACTGTTTAACACAGCTTTCAGTTTTCCATTTTTTTTCTCATTTTCAACTTAAATTAGTAATTTTCCTCATAGTAATAAAAATTCACGATGAGATTTCTGAAAGCAAAGGTCGTAGATCAGAACTCCTTTTGCAGTGTATACCATCATTGGCAGGAGAATATTGCAGGGCTGATGAACGTAAAATGCTCTTTTTCTTCCTTTTAAAATAAAAAGGCCGAAATTAAAAATCTTCAGTAACACAGTTTCTCTTTATTCTCTGACATTAATATTTACTGATAAGGAGGAAGAGAACTACAGAGAGGAGTCGGATCCTCGGACGAGGGCATCAGAACCCCAGTCTCCTCCCCAAGTATCTCGCCACAAGTCTCATTATCGCAACCGGGAGCACTTTGCTACCATACGCACAGCGTCGCTGGTACGTGGAGGGCTGGTCTGGGCAGAGCTCTGCAGGAGGGGATGCCTTGAACACAGCTCTGTGCAACTTCTCAGAGCTTTCAGAATATCACCACAATACGAGCTATCTTCATTGATTGAGATGCTGTCACTGAAATAATTTAGTGTCGCTTAATAAAAGCTTCAGTGAGACACCTGGGCAGATGTAATTTGTGTATATTAAATAGTCCCAAATCCGAAGTAGAACATAGGAAACCATTTATTATAATGAACTGGTTTTTATTTTCATATGCATGTTATGAATATTTGTGCATGTGTGTGTGTGTAGGTATTCACCCTCATTGTATTAGGCTAAAAGGCCATTATTTAGTACCAGCTTTCTAACAATTGTACTGTTTTTCTGCTGGAGCCCATGTGAGCTTATCTCCTACAGTAGAATTGAGGTTTTTAATCTACTCTGCTGCCATTAGGATATGTATTTTTCTTTACAACAAAATCATATTTCTAAACTGAATTGTTGTCTTTTGTGGTTTGAAGACTGCTGAAAAGCAGATTAAGCAGCATTAACTTCCTCTGGCCCGATGTGGTTATCTTCCTAGGTGACAAGGCAAATGCAGGAACATGAGCAAGACTCTGAGCTCCGAGAGCAGATGTCTGGATATAAACGTATGAGAAGGCAGCACCAGAAGCAACTGATGGCATTAGAGAATAAACTGAAGGCAGAGATGGATGAGCACCGCCTCAGGTTGGACAAAGATCTCGAAACACAGCGTAACAATTTTGCTGCAGAAATGGAAAAGCTAATTAAAAAGCACCAAGCAGCCATGGAAAAAGAGGTAGGAGGTTATGGTTTATCAGACCAACCCATGTTTGTTAATTACCTTGAATTGTCCACTTCACCTCACTGATGCAGAGATGACAGTGTGGACTCTGACATGTCTTGTTTTCAGGAGCCAAGCAAATTACTAATTAGAAAAAGGTGAATACATCACCTCCTTACACTAAGGGGTTATGTAACTCGAGGAAAGGTATGTCCTTCATGGCAGTGGGTTACACTGAATGTTAGAATCCTGACCCCAGAAAAAACACTGTGAGGGTTTCCTCTCTCTTGCCATGTCTGTGCTGTCAATAATTGCCTGCCATTGAGTGTTGTGGAGGCAGATTAGCCTGCGGAGAAATGTGCCAGCTACACTTAAATGTTCACTGTCTAGCTGTGTATGGATATGGGAGGGCTGTGCTTTTAAATAATTGATAATGAAGTGGTGCTGCCTGCAGCAATTATTATCGATTTTTGTTCATCTCTGATCTCTTGGTGTAAGGCTGAGGATATAGTTTATCGTAACGTTTTGACTTTGTTAGGCAAGATTAGCTGAACAATAGGGCTGAGGGAATGTGGCACTGGGTGCCTTGACAGGATGGGGAATGAGGAGAGAGTGAGGACAAGCTCCTCTGACTTGGACTTGTCCAGGGATGTGGTGATTATTGTGGTGACGAGTGCTGGGTCTTGAGGCTGAAACTGGACATGACCTGTAATCTGTTGGGACTCAGACTAACTTGCTGCTGGATTTGCTGTAGGCTAAAGTGATGGCCAATGAAGAAAAGAAGTTTCAACAGCACATTCAGGCCCAACAGAAAAAAGAATTGAACAGTTTCCTGGAGTCCCAGAAGAGAGAATATAAACTCCGTAAAGAGCAGCTGAAAGAGGTAACTCATCTCCAATGAGAAATGTGTGATATGGTGTGAGAATGGTGAACATGTGAAAATAAGTGACACTGTGCACCACAGATCTTCCACAGGATTGCAGTGAGTTCTGCATTTTATGAGCAGAGTGAGTCCTGTGTGTACTATATTTGTTTCATATCTTTGACCTTCGAGTAAGAGAATTTATTTAGTTATTGACACCTGTGTATTTATCTTGTGAAAGTACAAGCCTCTCCATTGTTTAATACTGTTTTTTAGCCAGAAACATGCAAATTTGGCAATCCTTAGGAATGAAAAATGGTAGTTTATGAAAGGTCATGAAGAGTTTTCTCATACATTGTTGCAGGTAGTGGCCATTCCCTGCAGCAGTTAGTGAAGTTTCTTATCACTTAATGATATTCCTGTACAGGAGCAAGAAAACAGAGCAGTAAAGATGATCTGCATTTTTTTGTAAGGAAAATACCTGTAAATCACTTAATAATTTTAATGACGAAATCTGTGTAATCATTTAATAATCATTGCATTTTGGTGAAAATTGAAATCTCTGTGAAAATGCAGAGAAACTGTAGAATCAAACTTCCCAATTCTTTTTGTGAGTGAATCCATAAACACTATAAATAATTTTTTTGAAAGAACCGTTTAATGCTCAACCATCAACTTGTGTGACACTACTTTGGAACTTGCTCCAAAGGGAAATATTCCCAAACATAGGCATTTCCCAGGAGAAAAAAAAGGCTAAAGAGCAGCAGAGCCAAGAAAGATCTAACAAAAACTACGGTAGCGTGGGCTTTTTATAATAACATAGAATCTTTTTCTAAGTGGGCAGTAGATCACAGAGCACCAAGAAACACTGATGAAATACAGAGGAGTTCTGTCTCATACTTCAGTGGAAATGTATCACAACAAGTCTTAATTACTGCATGGGCATCTTTAGTATGTAATTCAAGCAAGCAGAGTCTTTTGCCAAAGATACGTTAAGCTGTATAGTACAAATGTGGAAACTCCAAGATTTATCTGTGAATTTCTTTACATTGTTTTTGTGAGTTATGGTATCTCAGTGAGCAGCTCTGCCTTGATGTAAAATGGGTATGTACTCTGGTCAAGCAAGACACAAAAAAATTCCTGATGTGCTTCTTGTGGCTGGAGTTTTGTTTGAAAACAGGACAACAACACTTTCCTTCTGCCAGTCCTGTGGCAGCTCCTCATTTTAACGTTTGCAACTGATACGTAGGTCTGGAAACTGGACATAAACCAGTACTTTGGACAGTGCAAAAAAAAAAGCTGTAGTTGAATCTGCTCCACTGTGACTTGTCTCCTGGTATTTCCTTAGTGTTCTTTATGTGATGTGATGTATTTTGAAGAGGCTGAGATGGCACCAACCTTGAGAAGAGAGGGTAGAACATAGTTCAGTAGTTTATTAGTCAGGTCTGTCCAGTTCATGCCAAGGAACTTAATGTAACTATTCCACAATTAATTACTTTGCCATTATCAGGAGCTGAATGAAAACCAGAGCACTCCAAAGAAGGAGAAGCAGGAGTGGCTCTCCAAGCAGAAGGAGAACATCCAGCATTTCCAGGCAGAAGAAGAGGCCAACTTACTGAGGCGTCAGAGGCAATACTTGGAGCTGGAGTGTCGCCGCTTCAAGAGAAGGATGCTCCTGGGCCGCCATAACCTGGAGCAGGACCTGGTTCGGGAGGTAAGGGAACAGGCAGAGATGAGACCTGGATGCACCTGTGTCAACTGCATCTCACAGGAGCACCTGCAGTCCACCTCAAATCAACCAGAATTGTTCGTTATCACATCCAAAGTGTTTTGGTAGAACAGTGGTTGGATGCTTTGCAGTGCTGTCTGGTAATCCCTGTGACATCCGGTGTACAGGTTAATTCCCCTATTGCAGGAGAATTATTAGGTCCAAAAAATCATCAGATAGAACAGTTAACAGAAAATGCTTACTGTGAATCCTGTTGAGCATCTAGAACAGGAAGATGAAAAGTGAAATGAGGAAGGAAAAACTACCGGTGGCGTGGCTGTCTGCTGCTGATAAGACCAAGAAACTCTGTGGTCTGTCCTCAGATGCCTTGGAAAGAGAAATGCCCTTGCGAACAAAGTGAAATGTCACTTTGTCAACGGAAATCCAAGTAAGTACAAAGAGCCTAATAATTCCCTCTGTCCTCCTGCTAGGAGCTAAACAAAAGGCAGACCCAGAAGGACCTGGAGCACGCCATGCTGCTGCGTCAGCACGAGTCCATGCAGGAGCTGGAGTTCCGCCATCTCAGCACCATCCAGAAGATGCGCTGCGAGCTGATCCGGCTCCAGCACCAGACCGAGCTCACCAACCAGCTGGAGTACAACAAGCGCCGGGAGCGGGAGCTGCGGCGCAAGCACGTCATGGAGGTCCGGCAGCAGCCCAAGAGCCTGAAGGTACTGAGGGGTGTAGGAGCTCCGGGGCTGCTAAGGGATATAGGAACTCCAAAGGTGCTAAGGGATATAGGAACTCTAAAGGTACTAAGGGGTGTAGGAACTCCAAAGGTACTAAGGGGTGTAGGAACTCCAAAGGTAATAAGGGATATAGGAACTCTAAAGGTACTAAGGGGTGTAGGGACTCCAAAGGTACTAAGGGGTGTAGGGACTCCAAAGGTACTAAGGGGTGTAGGGACTCCAAAGGTACTAAGGGGTGTAGGAACTCCAAAGGTACTAAGGGGTGTAAGGACTCCAAAGGTGCTAAGGGATAGAGGAACTCCAAAGGTATTAAGGGGTGTAGGAACTCCAGAGGCATTAAGGGATGTAAGAACTCTGGTGTAAGCTTCTGGTATTGGAAAAGTGGTCCATGGAAAAGTGGTCCATTACAGCCTGTTTGCAGTGCAGGCAGGGCTAAGGTGATTTGAAGCTGTTAACTTGAAGAGCACCGTAGCTGTGGTGATAAGGGTTACAGGGTATTGCAGGCAGGTCACAGCAGCACTAGTCCCTCCTGTTCTTTCAAAAGCTCTTCTCAGAAATGTCCCTTCCTTTCTGGGGTAGTTTAAAATGCATTTAATGTTCACAGTACGCTTTTTTTTTTTCCCCTCCTACACCATTTTCTGATCCTTCTCTCCCCCATATACAAAAATAAAATCAGTATTTCTGTAATGAAGCAGTGTAATTTAAAAACAAAACCCAAAAGCTTTGTGTTGCTGTGTGCATCAAAATGAACTGCACTCTCAGTCTTGGCTAATTCACCTGGTTAGTGTTTTTATATTAAAAAAGATGGCATGGTGACAAGTGGGGAGAGGGGAGGAGAGAGACACCAGCCAAGTGCAGTGTCCTCAGGAAGCTCCTGGCACTGACCTTCGCTGTGTGTCTCTCCTGGGTTTCTCATGCTGCCCTTGTAGCTGTGGTGGCTGACCAGAATTATGGGGCCTCTGTGATTGAGGCTTTTAGTGTTTTCAATTAAGCCTTCACTTCATCCGAAGAAGTCCAGTGGTTTATTCTGAAGTGTCTGAGAAGGGTGTTTAAGGCCTTTCACAAAGCTGCCTGGTACATTTCCTTTGAGGAGGCAGAGTTCTTCTCTCCACCCAGCGTTCAGCTGTGCCAGTAACAAAATGAGTGTATGGCATACTGAGCATGGGGTTTCTTTGTTGTTCTACATGTTTCCTCTTCATGATATTTTCCATCTGACTTAGTTTTCACCACCTGCAAGTTATCTTCTTACAGAGAAAATAACCAACTTGAAAACAGAACTTCAGAAAAGAAAAAATTATACCTGATTTGTCAATATTAGAACAATATTAAATCGTGAAAACCTGGCTTGTGAGAACAAGGGACCATCTGATCACTGTTGAGAATCTCCAAGGATATAGTGTATAAATAGCAGATGACTTCACAGGGAAGCTGTGCTGCACTCTGAGCTGAATAAAACCGAAGCAGCTGTATTAGGTTGATCCTTCTGAGATTAGCATGAATGAGTTCTGCCTCCCCAAGGTGATGTGGTGCAAACACGAGTGGGCAGCATGTCCGTTCTCCTTCCCCGGCTGCTGTCAGGACAGCAGGATCTCTGGTACTTCTGTGCTGCAGGGGCTTGGCTGCCCTCTCACCTCTGCAGACTCTCCAGCCCCTTCCCTTTTCCAGGGAGGACAGGGCTGGAGCGTTTTGCAGGGAGCATGGAAAGCTTGCACTTTGCTTTGCATGGCTGTTCTGTGATTAGTGAAGGATTTCAGGCTTGAGCTGTCAATCCTGCACCTCTGCGTACACGCAGTGCTAACAGCACAGCCCTGGACAACCGTTGGGTTTGTAGCACAATCCCCTCTTTATCGAGGCTGTTCTCTAGCATTAACTCTTTCTCCTGCTTCTGACTAATGCAGGCAAGTATTCTTAATTGAATAGATAATTTGACCATTTGTTCAGTTTCTCTCCCCAGCAACGTTTTCCCTCAAGGGCACATTTCAGGCTTTCCCTTTGTTATTTAGTGAGGCCCTTTGTCCTGGAAGCAGGTTTTTAACGGTCAGTGTCTGCTCTATGACAGCACCAGAAGGACCCATAACTAGAATTCACCCTTCAGTGAAAACGGCTGTTATTATTTCAAGTGTGTTAATTGTGATGCAAATACCCTCTTGCTGGTATTTCACAATAATAGGTCAAAATGATCTTGTCAGAAGTCTGACTGGAAATCTTACCCCTCCCTTCTGTTTCCTGTTGTTAAAGCCTTTGGATTGAGAGCCTGTAAACAGTCTGGTGTCCAAGCAAGACTTCACAGAAAATGAGGACAAAATAGGTTGATAGTGTTTTGCTGTGACCAGGTCCCTGATGGGAATGTGTAACCTGCTGACACTTCCCTTAAGGGCAGTGAGAAACAACCTTAAAGGTTTCCTGGAAGGAAATAACTTTCTGTGAAATTCAGAAAGGTTAAAAGTAATGCATTCCTCTTCATGATACATGTTTTGATTTGAATGAAACCCATCTTTGTCCTGTTCTCTGCATCAGGTTAGCAAAGTGTTATTGTTGTTTTATGCAGCATAGTCTGCATGGGCTGGGTGTGCTGTTTGATCCCACTGCACTTTTTGAGGTGGCTGCAAGTGCTGTGTTTATCACCTGCCCTACTGAACCTTGAGTTAATGCCAGGAGCAGACAGTGGAGGGGCTGATGTGGCCATGCACAGAGATCTGCCTCACTGGTTCAGATCCCAGAGCTCTTCCAACTTACTCCAGCAGTAATCTGGTCCTGTGCTGTTTGTGCCTGTAGTGCTTCAGGATTTGGCATGGTGCCTAACAATGGGAAGGCCCTCATGTCTGATTTTAGTGATTTGTGTTTATTTATCTTTTTTATTTATTTATTTGTTCTTACCATGGTGAACTTGACCATCTGTCAGTTAACAGTCATCACTCATCACTTCTGGGTTTTGCTTTGTTAGTAGTATCCCTGCCAGCTATCCCATAGAAAGATACAGAGAACTCCAGAACACCTTCCTTTTCATGATCTTGAAACACTTAGTACATGTTAAAACTTCACAGGCTGCTCTGAAGGCAGGTAAAAGAAAAGAAATAATTTTTTCAAGGTCATACAGCAAAACTGGATCCCAATACCTTTTCCAGGATTGGTGTCCCTCAACCCTATGTGCAGTCACAGCTATGTCTCTAAACAATACAGAGATGTTAGCAAGTTGAAAGGGAGGAAAACTCTGTCTCCAGTAAGCCTCCAGTGGGACTGGGGAATTGTTTTGTTTGCTAGACCAGCACAATACTACTGTTTTGTGGTGTACATTTTAAAGCATCTAGTCTTTGGGTTTCTTTATGAAAACCAGGCTCGTAATATCAAGGGTTAGAATACATCTTTATTCATCAAACCCTCAATGGAAAAAGCATTGTTCTTTTTTCCTGTCCTTTCCCATGCACCAGATCTGCTTCTTTTCATAACATTAAGTGCTGTTCATATATATGTGCCATACAAGCACAGTCGTGTAAGTATGGCTTTTGGTGCTAATAAATATTAGTCCTGTCCCTCAAGAACTTTTCTTGAAAAGCAACACCCAGGACTGGATCCAGTCCAGTGACAAATGTGAGGCTCTTTGTGCAGAGACAGCTGTATTTAGGCTGGAGCTTTGTTATAAAAGTGTCTGTATTGTAATTGTTTCGCACAGTAGCAGTGTCAAAGCAGCTGCAGCAATAGTCATTGCCTCTTGTGTATTTTGCTTCCCTCCTTGCACTGTAGATGTTAATATACATTTGTGGATTCTTGAACTCATATCCTTAATGTAATCCTAAATATCCATTTGAATGGATATTTCGCTCATTTGAAACATGCTGGTTTTTTCTTTGTGTCCCCTCCATCTTTCCAGTCAAAAGAACTACAGATAAAGAAGCAGTTTCAGGATACATGCAAGATCCAAACCAGACAGTACAAAGCACTGAGAAACCATCTGCTGGAGACCACGCCAAAGAGTGAACATAAAGCTGTCCTCAAACGGCTCAAGGAGGAGCAGACCCGGAAGCTGGCTATCCTGGCTGAGCAGTATGATCACAGCATTAATGAAATGCTCTCTACACAAGCTGTGAGTCGCCTCCGAGGGACCCAGGGTTCCTCAGCCAAAGAGGGATGTTTGCATTTTAACCGCTCTGTATCCTGACAGCAGGCTTTCTGCTTCCTTGCTGCACACGCCATTCCCTGCACAGTCCTTCCTCTGTGTTTAGAAAGCAGAGTTCAAATGCAGAGGAAAGACTTACCACCCCCTCCAGGCAGGCTGAAGCTGAAGCTGCTGTTGTAGAGATGCAAAGTGATGCATCTGTGTGACCAGAGGACTGCTTTTGCATGTAATATGGCAACATAAACATCCCTGTTAGAGCATCATTACATAGTGTGCAACTGGCTGTCTTAACTCATTTAGATTTTGATTTGTTGATGATACCAACCCAAGCATGTGCCACTGGTTGAAGATGCTCATTGAGTCATGGAGGAGTCCACAGATTTGACTGTAAATCTGAGGTCAAACTGTTGTGAAAGTTCCGTGATTCCTTCTTTAAGAGATTCCTTCTTTAAGGAATGAACACATGAGCAATGCTTCAAATCCTTGCTACAGCTAAACGTGCACTTTTCTTTGCAATTCTTGCATATTGCATCCTGCTCACATCACTTTGTACACAAATTTAAGGCTGTGAGGCAGGGTAGCTGGCTTCACTTATGATGGGAAGGTTAAAAGTTCAGTATCATATTGCTTTTAGGTTTATTTAATTATATCCTTGTGCCCAAAGTCCTGCATTGGCAGGGCTATGGACTTAAGTCTCCTGGGTAGTGGTAATTGGTTAATCCAGTTGAACAGAGCAAGAGAGCTTCTCTTTGCCTGTAGCAAAAGGAGAGCTGAGGATGTTTGCACCTCCAGCAGTCTGGTCTCTGCAGTGTGGATCGTGGTTCCTGAGGCGCCACTGCTCATCAGCATCACTTGCATCAGTGCTGTGGGCTCACTGTCACCAGTCTTTGTCACTATAGGTCCTCTGTTCAGCGAAGCAAAGTACAATAGAGACCAATTGTATTGCTAAGAAAACAATGTCCCAACCCATTCTCCCCCTCCCCACCGTCTTCCCCTGGAGTGTCAGCAGTGGTTACCCCATGGTGAAACGTCTCTATTGTCTGTCTTTCCCAGCTGCGTTTGGATGAGGCACAGGAAGCAGAGTGCCAGGTTTTGAAGATGCAGCTGCAGCAAGAATTGGAGCTACTGAACGCATATCAGAGTAAAATCAAGATGCAGGCAGAAGCCCAGCATGATCGGGAGCTGCGTGATCTTGAGCAGAGGGTGTCCCTCCGCCGGGCCCTCCTGGAGCAGAAGGTAAAGTGGGCATGTGAGCATCCTAAGCACACTCCATATTTCAGATCTTAAATTCCACTTATCAGTGCAAGAGAAACTGCTCTTACTTTGCTGTATATAGTAACACAGATCATTTGGGTGTTTATCTCTTTGGGGTTGAAAGCTCAGTTACACATAGACTAAACTTTCTGCCAGCTCAGCCCTCCTGTGTGAGCAGCTTCTGGCTGGGATAGAGCTGCCTGAAGTGTGCCAGAGGGAGTTGTACCTCTCTGGGCAGAAGGGAAAGAGAACTGTTCTGTCTCTGAGCTGGAGATTGGCTTCCCTGGCCCATCAGAGAGCAGACAGTAACAACCTAAAGCTGGAGGCTGCAATTTCCCTATGAAATATGGTGTCTTATGAGCAAACTCAAGTAGCCAAAGCCACAGGCATGGGGCACCTGCTGCTCCCCAGATCTCAGCTTGTAGCTGGCTACGTGTATTCAGGTGCTCCTTGTTGAAGTTTGCTTTTCTGTGCAGTGCCAGACATGTGTAGAATTTTGAGTAGCCTACACAGACCAAGGGAAGGGAAATGCACCAAAAACTGGTGAAAGGAAATAGACTGTCAGCCTTCCTTCTGCAATTGTTTTCCCTTTGGACTTGCTCTATAGGTGTCAGCCATTGCCATTCACACAGCAGTTACCAGCTTAGTTCATCGATGTGTATTAAATAAGGGCGATTACTCTGAGGTTCTTTACACTGAAATTCTTCCAGGCACTAGTGGATGGATACTGGGATAGTCCACAGAGCACTGCTCCACCTCATGGCCAGCCGAGGGAGCACCCCCAAGGAGGCAGCACAGCCCTGTTGGGCTTTGGTCTTCTGCAAGGAGACAATTGCTCTCAGGAAATAGATGGATTTGTGAAAGCAGAGTTCCTGCGTGTCACTCGTGTGCAATAGCTGCCTTTAGACCCCACTGCTGGTTATTTTGGTCCCGGCTCCCGACAGAGCCCGGCACAAGTATGGATTTTTCTGGAGGTGCATTGCCCTCTGGTGGCATGAGCTGCTTGGGGAGGAAGTGCCACAGTGAGCCAGTGCTCCCTGCTCTGTGGCAGCAGTATGTATTGCACACAGTGTTAGAAGCCGCAGTGAGGCCAGCGACTCAAAGAAATCCACATCAACCAACAATGTTGTAGAAGTCTTCCATTGTGTACCAGGATTGAAGTCTCTGTGCATGGAAAACCCCTGTGAAGGATTTGGCATCAGTAATGGTAATAAGAAGCTTAGCAGTACTATTTCACAGAGAGGAAAAACAGATAAAAATACCGCCTAGCATAATTTTCTATATGTTTGTGTGCCTATATTGCCTTAGAATAGCAAAAAAAAATGATGGTGCTTTGGCGTTCATAGGTTCCTGTAGCAATATGTGCAGTCTTGGCACATGAAAATCACAAGTCATGCACCAGCAATGAGACCTTGGTGGGGTTCCAGTCATTTGGCAGTGACTCAAAGGAAAACATGTGGGTCCAGAGGCAGACACGTCATTCTTTTGCAGGAGTGTTTTTTGGGAGGAGAGGTGATGTTCTGTTTTTGTAAGAACTAAGAGTTGCCAGTGTTCTGGTGTGAGTCCCTCAGCGATGTCACCTGGTGTTTGCTGGCATGTGCTAACTGAAGCTGGCAGCCAGAGAAAGGGCAGGTATGTGCACAAGATGAATGTCTGCATTTATATGCACAAATAAATGTGTAGCCTGTGGCAAAGTCAGTCCCTGGTGTTCAATAATAAACCAGATTCCAGAAGTTAGTGTATGCATAGAAATCTGCTTCCTTTTCAGCAGGCTGCTCTTTACTTTCGGTGGTGCCCATCACCATAAGTCACCAGAGCATGTGTGTCATGTCCAGCCCTGGAGTAAGCAGGGAGTAGCCAAGCCCTATTGATGTGAAATGTTGTTTGTATTGCACCAGCAATGAGCATGTCCCAAGAGTGTCTTTAACAGAGTTCAGATTTAGTCATTTCCTTCCCACATGCCTCAGACACTTCATTTTCAGAGTGGCTTGAGTGATGTCACTTTAACAAAGTGTCAGGCCTTTCAGTGAAGTTCAGTTGCACCAAGTCCTGTGTGTTGCACTGTCACTGAGACTGAAAACAGTGACATGCTGAAGACATTGAAAAAGGGGGATTCTACTTAGCAAGCAGGACAGGAAAAAACAAGCAGAGCATTTTAAAGAGCTAATGTTAGCGAAGGCACCTTCTTCCTCTGCTGCCTTTGTTTGCAGCAGGAATAGTGAGCAGGACTGCTCAGTGCAGAGTCTGTCACTCACCTAGAGTAACAGGCAAGTAGAGAAGGAGTTTCTGAAAGCCCCAAATGGCTCAGGAGATGACTCATGCTGGAGCAGATTGTTTCCTCAATTCCAGATGAAATTGCTTTGCATATTCCCTGACTCAGGCAAGAGAGTGCTTACAAGTACAAGGCTCTGCCTGGTGCCTTCAGCACAGACCCAGATAACACCTCTTGGCCATGTTGCTGCTGACAGCAGGGAGATGCCAGTGAGCTGTGCTGAAAGTCTTGGCTGCTGCTTTTTCCCCATTTGGTCTTTTTCACCGAGGCCAAAAGAAGCTTTTTCAGTGCTGGCAAGAAGATAATGGGTTTTGGTTCTCCACCTGACTGCAAAGATTTCAATAAGAAAGGCTTCCATCCCTGTCTGATGGGTGTCAGGAGGCCGTAGTCCTGTGTTTTCAGTACTTAGAGTGCTGATCCCAGTGCCCTTACCAAAGTAGTCTTGGAAACCAATTTGGAACAGTGTTATGGGGGAAAAATTGGAGTTGCCAGCTTGCATATCATCTAGCTAATAATCTGCCACACAACTCAAACAGCACTGCCTATGTCCTTCAGCCACACACCCTGGAAAAAGTATCAGGGCATTGAAATATGAGGCAACCAAATTAGGAAAGGGGTAGATAGGAGATGATAAATACATGAGCTAAGAAAATCTGGCCAGTGAACATTAGAGAGGAAGCTGAACGTGGGCTTGTGCACTGAATCCTGGAGAAAACAGCAGTCATCATCATAATCATCATCAGATTTAGCTGCAAACAGTGAAGGTCACCATAAGCTGTGTTGGCAGGCTGTACCTGAAGGTGCTTTCCCAGTAGGCTTCTATGAAAGCTGTAGACTTTGCTGCATCTCAGAAGATTAATCTCCATCAAGCTATTGGTATCAGAGCAAACTTTAGATTTGCATCCCTCAAGTTTGTGTATTCACCAGGGAACAGGACCAGCACCTTCCAACTGCTGTTCACCATGCTTTGGCCTCTGTGGGTCTGTGGGACTTAACCCTTGAAAAATTCACGCTTTTGTAATCAGAACAGACTGTGTGTCAATAGACATCTGATCTAGAGCCAGTTTCCTGCACAAACACAGGGAGAAGGTCCCTCAGTAGCTGTTACAGGTCCTCCAGAGGCTGTGCCTGCCCTACTGCTACAGACTGTCTCTTTTTTCCTTCCTAGATTGAGGAGGAGATGCTGGCATTGCAGAACGAGCGCACCGAGCGGATACGAAGCCTGCTGGAGCGTCAAGCTCGCGAGATCGAAGCCTTTGACTCAGAAAGCATGAGGCTAGGTTTTAGTAATATGGTTCTTTCTAATCTCTCCCCCGAGGCGTTCAGCCACAGCTACCCGGGAGCTTCTGGCTGGTCCCACAATCCTACTGGGGGTGCAGGACCTCACTGGGGTCATCCCATGGGTGGCCCACCGCAAGCTTGGGGCCATCCAATGCAAGGTGGACCCCAGCCATGGGGTCACCCCTCGGGGCCCATGCAGGGGGTACCTCGAAGTAGTGCTATAGGGGTCCGCAACAGCCCCCAGGCTCTGAGGCGGACAGCTTCTGGGGGACGGACGGAGCAGGGCATGAGCAGGAGCACAAGTGTTACTTCACAAATATCCAATGGTTCACACATGTCTTATACATAACTTAAACAATAACTGAGGGTGGCAATTCCACTGGAGCTGTCTGCCAACAGAAACTGCCTACAGACACCAGCCCAGCAGCCTCCTCAGTGCGGTGCTGACGTGTGGAAGCTGGGTGCACATGGAATATTGTATTCATTTTGTAAAGCATTACGTTTTGTGTTTACTAACTGGGATGTCATAGTATTTGGCTGCAGGGTTTGGGGGGGTGGTTTTTGGTTTTTTTGTTTTGTTGTTGGTTTTTTGTTTTGTTTTGTTTTTTTTTTTACTTTTTGGAGGGGTCTTGGGGAGGGCATCTGAGAAATATATGCAATTAGTCAGAAGAGTTGGCTGGTGGTCATCACACTGACAGGACAGAAGGGCCTCAGACTGCCCTCATCATGCCATCCATGGAGGAAGTCTGAGGGAGAATGGAGACCTCCTCCCATGTCCATAAATTTCGATCTGCCACCCTGCAAAAACCAGGCGAGCTGCCTTTAAACCAACATCCAGGGGAGGAACAGCTGGATCTTCTGTTCCATTTTTATTTGTCATTAAATTGGATTAATTTCTAGGGTATTGCCTCTGCCAAGAGGCATTTTCAAAGAGTTGTAGGTGAGGAAGAAGGTGAAAAGAGAGGCCAAAAGACACCAGGGCTCCACAGGGCCCTTCTACCCAAGTGCCCGCTCCGTGTCGTGTAAGAAGTGATGTTCTCTCAAAAGGCACTGGTCAGCTTCCCGAGAACTCTGTAGGTAAACCTGCCTGGAGGGAACAGGCTAGGAATGTTTGAAGTTGTCTGTCTGCTTTGGCACTCCCTGACTGTGCTGCTGGTAGCTCAGACGAGGTTGGGCAGAGGAGCGTAAGTAATGCACTTGTACAGCTAATACTGTGACATCTCATTTTAGCTAAGCATCAGAATAATTCTTGGAGCCCAGCGTAGTCTTTTTTGCTCCATTCAGAAATGTTTAGACTTTCAGCCAATCAGTCTCAAATGCCAGAGGTGTTCTGAAGGATGCCATAGTCACAAAATGCCATTGATCGGGTTTTTCATTATTACACTACATCCACCAATTTATTACCTTTTTGGCTTGTTGCAATTTCCTGTTTACATGTAGCGTGTAGCCAACTGTTGAAATGTTTAGTTGCCATGGTGTACCAGGAGGAGCTGAGCCAATGACTCTTTCCCAGCTGATGACTAACCCACATCACCACTGTAGATCTTGCTGCATGTGAGGCTCCTTTTTTATTATTTTCATTGCTGCAATACTTCACAACTTTTACAGTCCCTTGAGATGCTGTGATATTTTGGCAGCGTATCACACCATGAGAGAAGGCACTACTTCCAGAGGGCTCATTGGAGCTGCTGTACTACTGAAAGGAAGCAAAGGAGGTTGTGAAACCCATACAGTGATAAAAGGTCAGGGAGTCTCATAACTGAATGACTTTGTGGCATCGTGTCATCCCTTAGTGCTGGGAACCAGAGATGCCCCCATGCTCTTGTGCCAGTGCCAGGACGGTCTGGGTCAGCCAGGACTGTGAGAAGAACAGGTAGATGAAGTTTGGTTTGAGGCAAAGATTTCTGTCTTGGGGACTGACCAGCCAGGGTTCTTTGTAAATGTTTTCCCTTGCACACTAATCATCTTGAAGAAAACACTAGCTGCTAACTCTAGGATTTGCCTTTAATATGTTTATAGGGCTCAAAAGCGAGGTTTTCCGAATGTGTTTGTCCACGTGACATATTTATATAGTAAATAGTGTCTCGCTGCTGTTCAGTACTCGACAGGGCGGCGTTCTTTCGTTAGCTAAATTAACATCCACTCCCAATCCTTAACTCTCTGCCAGTGTCCAGTGAATCCAGATGGGATTTCCAGCATCTTGACGTAGCGTATCACTCTAATTGAAGATGGAAACTCTACCAAGACATGTTTGAGCAGCCCCTTAGTAAGGAGTTTTGTAGTACGAACAGTTGACAGAAGCCTGGGATGAGGTGTGGGTCCCATGGAGGTGCCTCTGGATGCTCCTGGGGGCAAGTGGTGACTGTGAATTGTCCTGTCCTTTCCTCTGCTATGTTTTTATGTGGAATTGGATGTTTTGGGGTCACTCTTTTGCATTGCAGTGTTGTTGAAATGCAGCGAAACTCATTTAGGAAAGGTACCTGTGTTTTCCTAGGTTTGGAAGGAGAGACAAAAAGGAAATGAAAGGCCAGAATTGTATTGGGGTTCACCATGTGAGTGTGGAGGGTGTGCCCAGAGCATGGTGCTAACACAGCATTTCGAGTTCAGCTCCTCTATCCCAAACAGCAGCAGCTACAGTGGAGACAGGCTATACCTGCAAGTTCAGTGGGTTCATTCTTCTGCTTCTGTTATGGTTTGAATTTGGTCAAAGTCTCTGGCTTAAATTGAGCTACTTCAACAGAATTCTCTTCAACACATCTCTTTGTGTAATGTCAAGCATGACTGAATGCTGAATCCAAATGATGGCTATCCCATATTGGCTTTTTTGTATTCAAAAAGAATTGTGTAGTAACCATTTTTACATGTATATCATGTGCAGACCTGGACTATTCCAACAAGTTAATATTTTAATTAAAATAGTTTGCAAAAACTGATTCAGATCAACTGGTCTAAATGTGTGTGTCCCTGTGTGTACGTGGGGGAAGAAAAACTGATCCAAAACTGCCTGATCTCAAGAGGAAGCACCTCATTACACAGCTGTAGCCAGAGGAACTCAGGGTCAGGCTGTGCCTTGGAGGTATTTGAGGAGGCCCTTGGTGTTGAGAATTTTAATGTATCTCAGGTTTATTTCTGAGATACATGAACAACTGTGTGCTAGAGAGATGCAAACACTCTCTGAATCAGTTTGCAAACTCTTATTTTTAAAAGTGAACTGTTTTAAAAAGTGAGGCCAATTGCTCCATGTTGTGCTCATTGCAGTCATGCCCTAACTTTGGTTTTAAAATTACTGTAATCTGTAAATTGTGGAAACTACTCCAGTACCTCAGCAAAGATGTTTTCTTGCATCTCTTATGTTCATATTTAACACTGGGGAACTCTTCTGTGTGGACTACTTTGCAAACTATATTGCAGTATGTTCAAATCACCAGCTTGACCCCTGAAATCTCTTTTCTGTAGTCATTTTTCTCTCCCCTCTTCAAAGACCTGAAGTTCTGGTGTAGCTTAGCCCAGAGATGGAAAAAACAGAGTAGCCAGCATTTTTACTTCTTTCTGATTCAAATTTTCTTTGTTTTTATTTAAAATCAGTGAAAGGGACCACATTTTCCTTGTTTTCCATGGTCCCAGGGAGCCAGCAGCCACCTCTCCCTTCCATGTTGAACATTAACGTGCTTTCTTCCTTGGATGCAGCCCTGAAACAGAGGCCACAGCTCTGTTTCACCTGCATTCCCTCCAAGCCTATGAGCTTCAAAGAGGCTGAACAACTAAATATGTGGTGTGATACCAGACTTTCCACAGAAAAATCCCCTGCAGCCATTACTCGCCTGGCTTGGGGCCAGGCTGGCATCACTTTGTGTCCCACCCAGCCCTCCCACACCAGAAGAACGGGCACTGCACACTCGCTGTGACCTGCACGGGGGTGTAGCCAGGGTGATCCTGGGGCCATGCTGTTCTTTAAACCCCCAGGACCCCTCGCCTCCAGGCTCCCAGCCCCTCGACCCTGCTTACGTGCCATTTCTTGAGAGGCAATAAATCCTATCATACCACTGTCTACCATTACTCTGTTGAATACGCACATCTCTCTGGATATATATATGGTATCTCATTTGTATATATTTATATACTCTGTATGTATGTGTGTGTGGGTATAGGTGCACACACACCTCATGCTGTGCATTTCTGTCAGGGCACTTCAGTTCTGCTGTTCTTTAATGCTCCTGTTTGTGAGCAAAAGCAACCCCTCAGCAGGGCTCACGGGGCGAGGGGACGGATGTGGCACAGGCTGTGCCAGGGCTGAACCCTCGCTGAAGTGCAGCCCTGCTAATTGCAGCTTGCTTTTTCTGGGGCATGAGAGGGTAGGTAGCTGCTGCGGGTGTGCTGTGAAGGAGAGGAGGGAGCTCCCTGAGGGAACCAGAAAGTCAGAAGGCGGCAGAGAAGAAAACAGGATGGTTTAGCGATAGGCAAGCAGTGAAGGCAATGTAGGGATCTGCTGGGGAGGCGGCGAGTGGGCCGGTGAAGTGCTCAGCAGGCTGAGCTCAGAGTCCCCAGCTGCGTCTCGCCACGAGAGATCACAAGCCCGGCACAGTCTTGGCTCACTGCACTGGCACTGGCTTTTGGCATTCCTGAGGTGGAGCCGCCGCTAGCTCTGAACACTGACTGCCTTGGCGTGTGTCTGATACCTGGAGGTTCTTAGGTTGTGTGGAGGGGCAGAAGAGAGGCTAAATTGGAAGATTTAAAGTACACGTGTGTGTATGGTCTATACATCCATATATACGCACGGAGATGCTCTTGGTCCATTCTTTATTCTGCTTAGGCCTGTGTGCTTCATCACTCAAGTCCAGCCAGCAGCAGACAGCCTTGTTCCTCTCCTGGGTGCTTGCTCTGCAGTTCTAGTGAATCTTGCCCTGGTCTTTCTCATAGTAGAGGGGCGAGTGCCATGCTGGACACCACCAGCTCCTCAAGCTGTGAAGACCCTTCTGACCTTCTCCTTTGTCCTCTACAGACCCCAACTTAGGGAGGCATTTGACAGTCCAGGGGATAAGCGGTTCTTGCATATGTCAGGTCACACATTTCCCCCAAGGACACCTCGCCAGCTCAGCAGAATGCTAACCCTGGGCAACCCTCTGTTTGTGCTACCAGAGAATTCAGAGGCAATATTCCCCCTGTCCCTTTTGGAAGGTCTCTTGCAAGTTTTTTAGGAGAGACTCAGGTTTGTTGGGTCGTTCTTACCCTTTCCCAAGGAGTAGTGTTGTTTTTAGCTGTGCACTTCCCTGTAGGATGTTCCTACCCCAGTGCTGGCCTGCAGTGAGCCCAGAGCCACGTGCCAAGGACAGAAGAGCAGTGGATATCCAGGCAGGGATGCTGGACACTGTCCCTCTGCTGTGGTTGTTTTGAGTTTGCACTTTTACAAATCAGTTGAGCCGGAGTCTTTTGAGGAATATACGTGAAGCGCTCTGGAGGGTGGGGCTTGCTGTTTACAGCCAGAAAATAAGAAAACCTGATCGATCTAGTGGTTTTAGTGACCATCACCCCACCAGGGTTATCTGTCACCCCATGGCAGATAACCCAGGTTCCTGTTGCACAATGAGGTTCAGCCAACTGGGGCTGTGATGCTGCCTGCTGCATCCCTGCCCCCTTCTCTGGAGGAAGGAGAGCCCTTTGTCAGCTAGAGAGGGACTTAGTAAATCGGATTTGCCGGCAAACAAGCACCTTAACCACTGAGCTGTGGGTCTGGATACTTGCACTTCACCTGAAGGCTCCCTGGGGGAGAGAAGGCAGTTTGGTACATGACCATTGGCTCTGCACCTGCTGGCATCCTCAAAACATCCTTAAGCCATGTCCTAGGGAAAATAAGACCCCAATATCAGCTCCCACTCTCCTTGCTTTCTCTGAGTGCACACAGTGAGACCAGGAACCAGGAGGGCCGAGTGTTGCCCCCACGGATGTGAACAAACCCTGGGGGGAAACTTCCTCCCACCTCGCCCCTCTGGCCCCCTGCCCCGCTCCCCACCCTTGAGTACGGGTACCTCAGAACATGCACAGTTTGAATTTTCACTGACAATTAGTTTAATTATTGTCAGTGAAAAGAATTGTAATTATCTGTAAATATGTAGGTAACAAATTGACCTAGTTTCTGTATTTTTTAAGTTTTTGTACTAAAATTTATAGATACAGTATGTGCCAGCTAGCAAAAAGCTACTGTAATTGCCAGTCGTAGTTCAGCATGCACCTAATCCCCGAGACTTGTCCAGTGATGCTGTAAAAGGAATTTGTGCTTAAATATTGCGAGCTGGGGAGGCCAACAGTCACTCGCCCGGGGCTTTCAGCTTCCAGCCTCGGGCTGGGTTTTCCCTGATGGCTGTGTGGAATCTCCTTCCCCTGGGCATCGTGTGCCACACGGAGGGCAGTGCGAGGGACAGAGCGGTGGCTTCGAGCTTGCTCTGGAGCTGAACTCAACGGGAACCAAGTTCAGGTTCTTTGCTGCAGTTTAATACCGGCTTGTGACTATGTTTTTCAGTCTCTCTAGAAATGATCTGTTTTTCCCCTTCCAAGTGCTTTTGTCTTAAACCTGAGTTCATCTAAATCTACTGGAGGAAAAAAAAAATACCAACAAAACAAAAAAATACTTTGATTTGAGATCGTTGCCTGCTTTTAGTGCCAGGATCACACATTTCTATGGCAACTCTGAGCTCAGCAGAGTGCAGAAATCAGTGCAGGGTTGTTGACAAGCTGAAGTCGGCGGCCACTGCCTCTGCACGGCTCCAGCAGAGCCCGGCTGTGGCTGGTGGCAGCTGCCAAGGGCGAGCTTGGGGGTACAGTGTGGTGGCTTGTGGGGGTCCTGGTGTCCCTGCTCCACTGCAGCTGGCTTGCTCTGCAAGACCTGCTGCTGAGTGAGAGGTGGGCTCCTAGGAATGGTCAGGATCTGTGCTCTGTGTCCTGTGGCAGAGGCAATAGCTGTGAGTCCAATGTCCTGTGAGTCAACAGCTGTGCTGAGCATCCCGGGAAGCTGCGAGCAGAGGAGCGCCGGTGAGGCCGTGCTCTCCGGGTCTGGTTGTCCTGGAGGTTGTAGGGAATGGGAGCTTGTAAGGATTCAAGGATCAGAGAAGGAGAGGCAGACGTGCGCGTACGGGTTTGGCTTTCGGCAAGCAAACCACCCGCTTCCTTTCTTCAGCTTTTCTTCCCTCCTAACCCCCCGCAGCTCTTCCCCCTGCTTGCTTGGAACAGGAACTTTTTTTTTTTTTTAACCTGCCTAGAAACAGCTAAAAGATGGGGGAGCAGCCCTGATGTAAATAATTAACGTTGCAAAGTGAAGTGTGTATAACATAAAAGGCTACAGCCCTTTGGTGACTTGTAAATGCTTTGAGAAGGTTGTGGTAAGACGTGGAGGGGCCAAGCGACCTGCCCGGCCCCGCAGCCACCGCTGCCCCACCGCCACCGCGGGGCCGGGGGTCGGGATGGGATGGGGGGACACCTCGGGCCCCTCGGCTTGGGACCCCCACCCTCGGTGTAGTGGATGGGAGGGTAGCGTAACGTGTGTAATACGGATAGGAGAAGCTGTGTGAGGTGTGTATAGTGTATATTTTTTAAAAATAGCTTGCTTGTGTTGTGAAGATTTTAAAGACAAACTTGAGAATTCTAGCCTAACTATTAACACAAGTTTAACATCAGTTACCCCACTGGGTTCAGAGCCTCTTGAATGTATATTCCTTTTTGTAACCTAAATGACCTATTCTTCTACCAGTCAGCCAGACATCCTATTTATATTTTTAATTTTATATATTACTTTCCATTTGTTTTCATTATTTCCAGCATGTTTCTGGGTTTGGGTTTTTTGTTTGTTGGGGGGGGGGTTTGTTTCTTTTTGCACAAGAATTGTGTGAAGTCAAGGAAATGTTAACTCAAACCTGGTATTTTCCAACCTGTTCCCCCTCCCCTTCCTCTCCTCCACCCCTGTTGTGTTTTTTTTTTCTTTCTTCCGCCAACAGTTTGGGATTTTTCTGGGCTGGGATGCAGCGGGTGGGAGGAGGGGATGGCTCTTTTCCATTTGCAGCTTTTGTGCAAATGCCAGGTCTTTTTGCCAGTCAACTAAAAAAATGCTTCACTTGCTGGTTGCTTTAAAAAGGAAAAAAAAAAAAAAAACTAAATAAAAAACAAAAATGTAACCTTATCAGTGCGATGTAGACCCCGGCGGGAGGAGGGGAAGTGCACACCTGTAGCCACACACCTCTGGCTTTGGCTCCAAAACAAAAGCAAACCTTTCCTGGTGGGGAGGTGACCACAGGGCAGCTGCTGCCCGACCCCCTGGAGGGTTTGCCGGGCACAAAGCTCCGTGTGCAGCCGAGCTCGGAGCTGTGCCGGGAGCGCCGTGCCTTGGGCTTGCTCTTCCCCCTCGGCGACCGCCTGCTCGTGTGCACGAACCCAAGAGCTGCCTGCTGATGACAGCAAAGCTGTTGCTGCTTTTCCTCTCCTCCTCCTCGTTCTCCTCTCCCCCTCCCCAAGGAGGTCCAGCTCCCCAAGAGCTCGCCCAGTGCCCGGCCCCAGCGCCACGGCCGTTTGCTCTGGGGCATCATCCAGGTATGGCCAAGCCCGGCCGGCGCCGTGCTGTGCCACAGAGCATTAGATAGAAAAAACCACACACATATCTGCTGTTTTACTATGAACACTGGTCTGAGGTTTCCAGGCTCAGCACCACGGTGATGAGCCACGAAGGATTTAACCAGGGGAATTAAACTCCTTCTTGCTTCCGTGTCTGGTAGCACCAGCTGGTATGAGTGAATCTACAGGTGTGCGTTTTCCTTCTTGTAGAAAATGCCACGAGCACTAACTGGTAAGGCTTAATGTACAGTATATTGTCAGTATTCTGGTATTCTTCTGGTTCAACATACATTATAGCTCATATATAACCTGTATTAATTGTATAGATTGTGCATTTAAAGCTGTTACCAAGTTGTCAGAAAATAAGAGAAGAGAAAAAAAAATAAGGTCATATGTAATATTTTGTTTGTAAGTATCCTTTGTATCATAGCAAAGGAAATGTTAAAAAAAAAATCAACTGTAATAAAGTAATTTTAGTACATGGAGTGTCTGCCTGCCTTTGTGAGACCCTGCCCCAGGGGGGGCTACCGAGTGTAAGACCTCTGCCAGGTGAACACGGGGGGCTCCACCGGGGGACCCCCCCACCTGCGGGGCCGCGGCAGCCCCTTCCTCCTCTCCTCCGTCCGCAGGAACTCGGCCATGGCCCTGAAATATTCCAGCACGGCCTCGTGGGCCCAGCAGCGCCCCGGCTCCCTCCGGGGGAAGCCGCAGTGCCCCCCGAGCGGGCTCAGCAGCAGGAAGAAGAAGGGGCTGCTGCGGAAGAGCTCCCGGGGCAGGCTCCGGGCCGGGGGGCCGCGCACGGGGTCGTCGGCGCTGCAGAGGCACAGCACCGGCACCGCCGCCTCGTCCGCATCGCGCAGGGGCTCGTTGCGCTCCCAGTAGCTCTCCCAGCTGGTGGGGCGGCTCCGAGTCCGGCAGAAGAGCGTTTCCTCCAGTTCCCGCAACGAGCGGCTGCCCAGGAGCCTGTCCATGTCCACCACCTCGGCCAGGGCCCCCGTGTACCTGCGGGGATGGGGCGGCCGCCGTGGGCTTGGGGGTGCAGGGATGCTGCCATGGGCTGAGGGCAGTGGGGACACTGCTGGGGACTTGAGGGATGTTTCCTGGGATGGGGGCCACGGGGAATGTTGGCAGGGGCTGGGGCATGCTGCCGTGGAGGTGGAGGGTCAGAGGGATGCCACTTGGAGCTGGGGGCTACAGGGATGCTGCCATGGGGGTGCCACCGGCTTGTGTGCTCGACAGTCCTGGCCAGTCCTGGCCCTGCCTGCAGGGGAATAGGGGTGACCTCGACTGGCCCAACCCCAGAGTGTCTTAGGAGCCCCATCCCAGCCCCTTGCCAGGGATCCTGGAGGGTCCCCACAGCTCAGCCTGGGCACCATGACAACGGGAGACAGCCGGCACTCCCGTTTCGTTACCGTGACAGCAGCTTTTGCAGTGAGAATCGAGAAACAGGCAGGGGGGAGACTCTCCCTGCTGCCCACCCCCACTACCCCTTCCCTGCAGTAAGCACTGTACCTTGCTGCACCCATCTGGGATTTGCTGCAGCTTCACCTGTTTGTCCCTATGTTTTGGGGTTTAGCCACATTTTTTTGCCCCCCATCTGCCCACCTGCAGGGTTCCTTTGCCCCCACAAGCTCTCAGCACCACCCGGGGAAGTGCCCACTTGTTCAAGGCCTTGGCTCAGGGCAGTTTATCTCCTGTCTCAGCCAGTGCTTGGCCCACTCGAGCCTGGCTGTGTTGGGCAATAGGGAACCCAAACCCCTTGGGAAGGGACGGCAGCAGTCACAGCCCCTTACCCAGCCGTGGACTGGCATCATAGTCTCCCCCCAGGGCCAACGGGAGGGTCAGGGGCTGGGGACAAGGCACAGTGCAGGGACAGGGGCCAGCCCCACGCACCCCTCAGGGTCCAAAACCACACAGGAGCTTTACCAACTCCTCCCAGGGGTGACAGATCTCCCAGCCCAGGAACCCCAAGATGCTGCCACAGCCCCAGCCAGGCTGGGGACACATGCGGTGGCCCAGTTGGCCCCATGGCAGCCGGCTCCAGGCTGGTGTTCATTAACCAGCATGTTTTGCTGCCCTCAGCACCTCTGCCCCTGCACTGGGGCTCCCGGTATCTGCAGCAGCACCCACCCCATGCACACCCCCAGGGATGACCGAGGTGTTCCGGGGGTACCCTCGTCCACCTCCCCAAGCCCAAGGGAGCTCACTGACCTGCTCAATCCCTGCTTGAGGTGGAGGAGCAGCGGCCACTCGTAAAGCCAGGGCATCCCAGCCTCAAACCAGTCCCGGCCACGGAAGATGGGAGAGAGGCAGGCGGCGGCGAGCAGGCGGCTGGAGGAGCCGCTCTCGCCCAGGTAGGCGAGCAGCAGCCCCGAGCCCGAGCCCTCGCTGACGGCCAGCAGAGAGGCAGAGGGGTGCCGGCACCGCAGGTAGGTCACAGCCTCCCGCAGGTCCCCGGGATCCCCGAAGGGCTGGAGCCGGGGGGTGGTGAGGGGGCAGCCGTTGTGGCCCCGGCGGTTGAAGATGACGGGGATGAAGCCCCGCTCCAGCGCCCGCAGGCCCAGCTGCAGCAGCCCCCCCGTCACCTTCCCGGCTGCGTTGGGGATGAGCAGCAGCACCGGGCTGGAAACGCCCCCCCCACCACCCGCAGCCCCCCACGGCCCCACCAGCCAGTCCAGGGCCACCAGCCCAGCGTCAGGCAGCTGCAGGAGCTCACGGGCCACCACCGGCTCCGGCTCAGGTGGCTGCAGGAGCTGCCACAGCATCTGGAGCTGGGGCCAGCGTGGCCATGGCCAGCGTCCCCCCCGCAGCGCCGCTGACCGCCCCAAGCTCCTCACCAGGTGCTGGGCCAGAGCCGAGGGCTTGCACAGCAGCCAGCAATGCCCTGAGCCCTCCTCGGCCATGAAGGGGATCCCCTCTTCCTCCTCCTCCTCCTCCTCCTCCTCCTCCTCTCCCACGTCTCCAGGCACCTCCAGCCTCCCTGGCCAAAGGCACCAAGCCAGGAGGCCCAGCCCCATGAGCAGCGCGGCTGCGGCCACCAAACCCTCTGGGGACAGCATGGAGGTGGCTGGAGCCCCAGCCGGCAGCCCCGATGGTCGGCGGGTTCGCAAAGCGATGGCGGGGCCGTGCTGGGAAAGCCCAGCCCCGGGGCTGGGCAAACAGCAGGGCTGTGCCGGGGATGGCGTGAGCAGCCAGCAGGGCCAAGGGGACTGGGTGAAACGGGAGGGACACGTGGCCAAGCCCTGCCTGGAGCCGGAGGGGTTGAACCACGGACCCTCCATGGGCGCAGGAGCCGGGGGCCGGGCGCCCGTGCAATGCTCACACCTTTATTGATACAAATGTACAAGGACACATCTTACAGTGGGGAGTGCAGCCCCGGCACGGGGCAGGACACCCGGGGAGGGGTTCAGGACGCCCGAGGAGGGGAGGGGGGAACCCGCGGGCGCCCCAGTCCAGTGTAATGCCATGGGTGGCCTCGGGGGTACCGGCCACCCAGAGAGGGGCTTTGTGGGGGGTGGGGGTACAAGGCCACCGCCGCCACGGACAGCTACAGAGCCTATGTACAGGATAAGTTAGGCGCGTGCCGCGGGGTCGCAGGGGGCTGTACAGGGGGATGCAGGCACCTACCCCGCAGGCTGAGCACCAGCTCCATGATGGTGCGAGGGGCACGAGGAACCCCGCACCCCGGCTCCCCAAAAAGGCCACTTGCAGCCACGCTCGCCCCAGGTGCCGGCTGCGGCCGGAGGGAAGGGAGACACGGAGAGTGTGGGGGGGTCTGGGGACACGGGGTGGGGGGGACGCGGGCTGGCGCTCACTGCTTCTTCTCACGAGTGGTGATGGTGACCAGCTGCTTGGCGGCCTTGGCGATGTCGTAGGCACACTGAATGACCTGCTGGGTCAGGAGCTGGTAGTCCACGGTGGCGCCGGGCTCGGGGGGCACGGTCTTGCGGCACTCGCTCTGCAGCCGGTAGGCGCTGGTGTTGAGCAGCCGCAGGGAGCTCCGCACCGTCTCCAGTGCTGGTTTCTGTGGCAGAGCACAGGACCAGTGTCACAACCTATGCTCAGAGGGCTGACAATGCCTGGTGGGGACCACAACCATGCCAGGGACACACTGCTCCGCCTACCTTAGGGAAGAGTGATGCCATCTCTGTCACAGCCGAGTGGATCTTCTCTGAGCAGGGCACGAAGCTGGGGGCAAGGAGAAGGGGTGAGCAACGTGGAGGACAGTGGCTCCCGACCATGGAGGGTGACAAGGCATGGCCCCACCCCTGGTCTGGGTCCAGAAGGACCCTGAGGCTGTGCCCCAGTCCTACCTGTCATGCTTGGACTCTTGTGCTGCCCGCAGCAGCTCCTGGATGTTCTTGGTGACCTGCTCAGTTTTGAGGATGACGTCCTCCGTGCTGGGCAGGCCAGGGTCCAGCTCCCCGTCCAGCGGGTCCAGCTCGTGGGGGAAATCCTCATCCTTGCTCAGGTCCACAAATCGCTTCCCGTCCATGCTGCAGGACCAACCAACCGTCCTGGGTCAGTATCTGTCCCTGTCCCTGCGTCCCCACGTACACTGGTGCAGTCCCCAGCCCCACCACTCACCTGACCAGAACCTCACCGGCCTGTGTGTTGTCATAGTCGCTGTCAGTGCCGCTGCCGTGCCGGTCCAGCTTGCCCTGGAGGGGAGAGGAGCAGTGTCAAGCCCTGCCCAGCCTCGTCCCCACAAAGGGTCGGGAGTCTCCCCACCCCAAGAGTTGCTCCCCCTCCCTGATACATCACCATGTGTCGGGCACCATCAGGCGGGCAGGAGAGCAGCGGGGAGGATGGAGGGAAGGGCACCGAGGAGGCAGATGGACCTTTCCGGATCTGGAGGAGGAAAAAAGGGGAAGCCCATGCTGAACGGGGTGCAAAAGAGTGTGGAGCCAACCCCGGTGACGTGCAGGGGAGGACGAGCACAGGGGACACCGCCACCCTGCATGCAGGAACATCACGGAGCTGCCATCTCTTGGGGAGGTCCCCGGCCTGACCCAGGGGGGTGCAGGGCGGTGGGGGACAGGACATCCCAAAGGCCACATCCTGGGCAGGCGACAGCCACCATGTCCCATGCAGGAGCCGCCCCCGCTGCGGCCCCCTTACCCGGTACACGCTGGCCGGGATGTGCATGGAGTACAGAGCCTCGTCCTCCACCTCCTGGCGACACACGAAAGGTTACGGCCCCGCGGGGACAGGACCCAGCACCCTGTGGCACTGCGGGGACCGCTGCACCCCAAAACCCTCCCACCCAGCCCAGCACACTCACGCCAGGGCTGAAGGGCTGGAGCCGTGTCACCAGCTCCTCCACCGGCTGCCCGAAGGGTTTCAGCGCCGAGCCCGGCTCGTACATGGAGAAGGCCTGGCGGTCCCGGCGGTGTGGGGGGGCCGTGCCCGGGGGGTGCACATGCTCTGGCCGCTCGCTGGGGGCTGGGGTTGGATGTGCAGGACCAGTCTGCTGCCGGATCTGCGTGTTCTCTGCCTGCAGCTTGTGGATCTGCAGCCAGGAGAAGGGAGAAAGAAGGCATCAGTGAGGAGTGGGGGTACGCTGAGGAGGGGAGTTCCGCTGGCCCCACACGCACCTCACGCTGCAGCCGGTGCAGCTCATCGCTCAGGCTGCTGTTCACCTTCATCAGCTGCTGCACCTTGGCCTCAGAGGCAGCCAGAGCCTTCTTCACCTCCAGGTACTCCTGCAGCGTGATGGGGCCATCTGACAGGTCAGAGGAGTCCATGCTCTGCAGGGAGAGGAGCTCAGCACTAGGACCCAAGAACCAGGGGTCTGGGTGGGGGTCCAGGCCGGGGCCCGGGCTCACCCTGGCGCGGTTGTTGCGGGAGGCGTTGCGCAGCAGCTCCTGGTCCGTGTCTTCGTCAGAGGCGACGCTGTCGTAGTCGTGCTGGTCGTCCAGGTCACTCTGGCTCCGCAGTGAGTAGTCGAGGGCGTCTAGGGGAGGGCAGGGCGGGTGCTGAGCACAGGGCAGCGGGGAGCGCTCAGCCCCACCTCGCTGCCCTCTGTGCCTCACCTGTGGGGCTGAGCAGACTCTTCCCTTGCTGCCGGCGCTTGGCTTCCCCAAGGATGTCGATCAGCAAGGTGGCAAACTCCCTGGCGTTGAACCTGGCCAGTTTTTGCCGGCCCTGGGGGCAGGAAGGGGAAAAAGGGGGATGAGCAGGGGTCTGGGTGCACAGGGGGGTCGTGCGGCCCAGAGGGGGCCTCACCTGGTTGCGCGTGGCTGAGTACTCGGGGTTGACAGGGAGGAAAGGGACGGCGCTGCGCTCTGTCACCAGCGTGCTGTGGTTCTGCGTCGTCAGCCAGACTGCAAGAAGGCGCCTGGTGTCAGACCCCGGGGGACACAGGGGCCGGACCCCCCCGGACAAGCAGGCTGCAGGGCCCGGAGCCGGCAGGACGCAGGCGCGGGCGCAGGGCCAGCCTGCTGGGGTTGGGAGTGGAGCCTGGCCAGGCTGACGGGAATCGCCTCCCCCAGCAAACCAGCAGGGCTGGGGACCCCTCATAACCCCCTAACAGGACTCCCCCACGCTCTTCACCCTTTCGGGCACCAGCTCGGCACCTCCCAGCTGGTGGGAAGATGGTTTGACACGTCTGTCGGCACTCGCCCCGCCACGGAAACGGGACAGCCCCCACCCTGCCACCCCCTAGATCGGGGGCACCACTGCAGGCTAAGCCCCCATCCCTGGGGGATCCCGGCACCCACCTCCAGCAGCACCCCAGCCCTGGCACCCAGCGGCGGCCCCTCGCGCTGAGCAAACCTTCCCGGCCGGAGGAATGAAGAAGGGAGGGGCCTGCGGTCCCGGCGGACGCATCCAGATCGGGGGGAGCGCAGGGCTCAGCCGCGGCCCCGCCGGCTGCTCCTCCCCGCGCCGTGACGCCCGCCCCGGCCCTGGGGGGCTGCACCCCGCACCCCCCGCACCCCCCGCTCACCCGCGTCGTTCTCCCGGCGGTCCACCTCGTCGTACACGTCCATGGCCAGCTCCTCGAAGAGGCGGTTGCTGAGCTGCAGCAGTACAGGGACAGTGTCAGGCAGGATGAGAGAACCGGGCGGGACCCCCCCAGCCCTGCCCTGGCCCCCACTCACCGCCTGCAGCTTCTTCTTGGCTGCCTTGGCCAGTTCAGAGAGGTCCAGGCTGGGGGGTAGGGGGAGAGGGGAAACAAAAAGTGGGGGTTATTCCTGGCCTGTTCCCACCAAAAAGTTCCCAGCTGCACCCCACCAAGACAGGGACCCCCCCCTCAGGCACTGGGGGCTTCACCAAGCAGGGCTGGCGAGCAGGCACAGGGGGATGAGGTGGCAGGCGGCGAGCGGGACCCCCCACCCCGAGTGTCCCCCAGGTGCCGGGCTGGGCCGAGTGGCCAGGGCTGCAGGGGGGGCCCATGCCAGCAGCATGGGGGGCCCCCAGAGCCGAGAGCCGAGCAGACAATACCTCTGTGCCATGCACTTTGGGCGCACCCTGCGCTCCGGAGAAGGCAGCGGAGGGAAGAACAGGATAAAGGCGGACGTTAAACGCGCGGGCACGCTGACCCCCCGCCCCCCAGGGATGCTCCAGTGACCGGGGTCCCCCCCTCAGCCCAGCGGGGACGCTGGGGGGGACATGGAACAGGGCAGCGGGGCCACGGGTGCCAGGGACTCACCTGTCAGCCATCTGGGGGATGATGTAGTGCCCATTCTTGTGGTCTGCACAAAGACAGGGGTGGTGAGCAGGGCCACGTGGTCCCTCCACGGTAACCCCCTCACCACAGGACCACCTCACTCACCCGGCTTCCTGCCGCAGAGGTAGAAGGCCAGCCGGTCGGTCAGCTCATACTGGCACTCCACCAGCCGCTCCGCCAGCTCGTGCTGGGCTGCCTGCCTGTGGGAGGGCCGGCAGGGGTGATGCCCACCCTAGGTGGGGGTGCAGGCAGGGGTGACCCCCTTCCCTGCCCTCACCTGGCATAGTCAATGGGGGTCCGGCCGTTCACATCGGGCGCCCCAGGGTCAGCACCGTAGACCACCAGCAGCTCTGCCTGCAGGATCTGCCCGGCCTTGGCGGCCACATGCAGTGGTGTGGTGCCCTTCTCCTGCGGGCATGGGCAGCCTCAGCCCTGCAGCCTGCATGTGGCATGGGGCTCCAGGACCCCCCTGGGCCCCACACCACCTCTGGGGTCCCCGAGCCCCACCAGAGCTCACCGGGTGGAAGAAGTTGGCCTGGGCACCCAGCGAGAGCAGGCGCAGGCAGGTCTCCAGGTTGCCCGTCCGCACGCTTGAGTGCAATTGCTGCAAGAGGAGAGAGCTGGTAATGGGGGGGGATCTGTCCCCACTGCCAGAGGGGGGTCCCTGAGCCTCCATCCCACCTTGCTGAGGTCCTTGGCAGTGACGCCGTCATCATCCCGGCAGGGCAGCTTGTGGACGAAGGCCAGCATCTGGTACTTGGCACGGATGAACTCGGACTTGGTTGGGCTGGGGGTTGGCAGTGGGTTTTGGGGTGAGGAGGGGGCTCCCAGCCAGTGCTGACCCCCTCCCCACAGCACAGGGGGCACTTACTGTACTTTGTCCTGGGGGTTTGCCTTCCGGCGCCCGCTCTGCACCTGCGCTGGATCCAGCAGCGAGTGCTCCCAGATGGAGTTGGCCCCATTGCTCGCCAAGGTGTGCA